GGGATAATAATCAATGTAATGAAACAAGCTATATGAATGGTTGAATGTGAAGCTGATGATGTGCCCTGTAAACTTTCACTCAATCCAAAATAAAAACATTGAAAAAAAAAAAGAGAGAAAATGGAAGGAATACACAGAGTCACTGTACTAAAAGGAAATGGTTGATGTTGAACCGTTTCAAGAGTTAGCATATGATTAAGAGCCAATGATACTGAAGGAGGAAGTCCAAGGTGCATTGAAGGAATTGGTAAAGAACAAGGCACCAGGAATTGATGGAATAAAAATTGAAATCTCTCAAGAAAGTGAGGCATCACAGGAGGCACTCACTCATCTCTGCCAAGAAATTTGCAAGACAATCAATCTGGCCGACTGATTGGAAGAGATCCATATTTGTGCCCATTCCAAAGAAAGGTGTCCCAACAGAATGCGGAAATCATCGGACAATCTCTTTGATATGTGAGTAAATTTTTGCTAAAGGTAATACAGAAACAGCTACAATCATACATGGACAGAGAACTTCCAGATGTTCAAGCTGGATTCAGAAGAGGCCATGGAATGAGGGATATCATTGCTGATGTCTAATGGATCTTGGCTGAAAGCAGAGACTATCAGAAAGATGTTTACCTGTGCTTTATTGACTATGCAAAGTCTTTTGATTGTGTGGATCATGACAAGCTATGGACAACATTGCGAAGTATGAGTATTCCTGAGCACTTAATTGTGCTCACTAGGAATCTGCACCTGGACCAAGAGGCAGTTGTCCGAACAGAGCATGGGAACACTGAATGTTTTTAAATTAAGAAAGGTGTACAACAAGGTTGTATTCTTTCACTATACTTATTCAACCTATATGCTGAGCAAATAATCCAAGAAGCTGGGTTCTATGAAGAAAAACGTGGCGTCAGGATTGGAGGAAGACTCGTTAACAACCTGCGATATGCAGATGATACAGCCTTGCTTGCTGAAAGTGAAGGTGACTTAAAACATATACTGATGAAGATCAAAGAGCACAGCCTTCAGTATGGATTACATCTCAATGTAAAGAAAACAAATAACCTCTCTACTGGACCAATAAACAACATTCTTATCAACAGAGAAAAGATTGAAGTTGTCAAGGACTTCGTTCTTAGAGCAACTATCAACACTCACGGAAGCAGTAGTCAAGAAATCAGACGACATATTGCATTAGGAAAATCTGCTGCACAAGCCCTTTTTACAGTGTTGAAGAGCAAAAGCGTCAGCTTGAGGACTAAGGTGCGCCTGACCCAAGCTATGGTATTTTCAATAACCTCATATGCATGCGAAAGCTGGACAGTAAATAAGGAAGATTGTAGAAGTATTGACGCATTTGAGTTGTGGTGTTGGAGGAGAATATTGGACGTCCCATGGGCTGCCAAAAGAACCAACAGATTTGTGTTGGAAGAAGTGCAGCCAGAGTGCTCCTTGGAGACCAGAATGGCCAAACTTTGTCTCTCATACTTTGGACATATTGTCAGGAGCGAGCAGTCATTGAAGAAGGATATCATGTTTGGTAAGGTGGAGGGTCAGAGAAAAAGAGGAAGACCCCAACGAGATGCATTGGCCAAGTGGCAGCATCGATGGATCCAAGCATGGCAACAATAGTGAGGTTGGCCCAGGATCGGGCAGTGTTTCATTCTGCTGTGCATAGGGTCACTATTAGTCGGTACCAATTCAATGGCACCTAACAACAACAATCCCCACAAGATCTCTTACAAGCCAGCTGCCATTCAGTTGATTCCAACTCATGACATTGGAACCCATGTATTGCAGAGTATAAGTACATACCGTAGGGTTTTCAAGGCTCTCCTGGAGTCCTGGTGTGGCATTGTGCATTAATATGCCAGACTTTATGTAAAGCCCTTTGAACTACAAGTTCAAAGCTCACCAGTTGCCCCTCAGAAACCCTGTACAGGGTTGCTATGGGTCAGAACCGACTCAATGGCACTTAACATCTTTTTGAAGCAGCTTATCAAGCCTGTCTTCCAAGGCAACTCTGGGTGGGTTTGAACCAACTTTCAGTTGGTTAGCAGTGGAGCACTTTTAACCATTTGGTACATCCAGGAACCTCTAAGTACTACAATTGTTTATATTTTATAAATGAAGAAACGGAAACACAGAGAGGTTAAAAACAACTGTCCAATGTCACACACCTAATAATGGCAGAATCAGGCTTCAAACCCAGGACCCAGAGCCCTAGATAAATTTTAGCAACAAATCTGATTTTAGCTGGTAATTTCAGTGTCACACTGGTTCTGGCTGTATGGCCCAAAGTTAGCAAGGTTGAATGTTATGTCATTTGCTTTGTCTCAGTAGCCACACACTGAGCAGAGGTCCTCTACAGTAAAAAGGGACGAGGGTCAGAAGACTATGGGGATGGGAAAGCACTCTCTGAATGGTGGAAATGTTGGCTGATTGTCCTGTAGGAATATGCCAGGTCACTGTAATTGAAATGTTCCAGAAATGCAACTTTTACTAACTGATGCTTAGTGACTGATAGCTTAGTACCCTAGGAAGCTTTGACTGTAGCTGACCCTTGAGTGCTTAGACTCAAAAGTGTTAAAAGCTTTCTGTGAGTGAAAAGATTTATCCTGAATTCCCTCATGTTATGGACTCCCCCTGACTTGCTATCAAAAACAACTGGGGGAAAAATAAGGTTAACTGCCTAAGATCTAGTAGGACAGCCCCCTGGGCCTAGGATTCAGGTTTCTTGATTCCCCCACTATTCCATGATTAGTACCTGGTACCTCCCTACTTCAGGGCCACATTATGAAACCATCTTTTGGCATTTCTGTAATCAAATACATTTAGATGAGCTCCCCAGACTATGCATTATTTCTCAACAGAGAATGGGGCTATTTCCTGACGTATAGACTGTTTTATACATTTTGGGTGAAAACTAAAGATTTCTGATGCTCTTCTTCTCTAGTGGAATAACGTGGAGGTAACACTAATTCTGGATATTTACAAGGTGTGGATTGGCTGTTAGTTGTCCACATTTGACGTTTTATCATCTATACAGTTTCATTATGTAACTATACATTTGTGACAATTTTTAAAATAATTATTTCGTTGGTTACCTCCTTTCTTTCTGTCTCTCTTCCTGTTGTCTCTACCATTCCTTTCCCTTCCATCTCAAATCAGGATACTGGCCCTCATACAACATTCCTTTCCATGAAACAATCTACAACTGGAGTGGCTATCCACTGTTAGTTCAGAAGCTGGGTTTGGACTACTCTTATGACATGGCTCCACGGGCCAAAATCTTCCGGCGCGACCAAGGAAAAGTGACCAATATGGAATCTCTGAAATATATCATGCGATACAACAGTATGTAGCATATTTCTCAAGGCTCATTCTTCAAAACTCCTTTTCTTCCCCCTGGATAAAGAATCCATATAAGATTATCATCTCTGTACTAAAGGAATTTTAACAAGTTACAAAGAATTTAGTATTCAATTAATACTATTAACTGTATTAATATTTAGTATTCAATTAATACTAAATATATTTTATACTCAACAAGTAGAATTTTGTCATCCTTTATAACAGGGGAAGAAGGTTCTATAGATTTTTTAATTAAAGTAATATATTTAGCCATGTGGGGTTCTTCCCCCTCGCAGCCCACCAAAAGAAGTTCTTTCAAGGTCAGAAGCAGCTTAAAAAAAAAAAAAAAGGCACAAATATGTTTAGATTTCATGAAAAGTATCAGACCCAAATTTGTATCTTTTGTTAGAACATGTACAAATCAGCATGAGAAAAAATGTTTCCATCTTTTCTACTCATTCTTCTTGAAGTAAGGTTCCTGCTGGTAGGCAGGCTGGGCCTAGGTGGGGATTAGCAGTTGATCCTTCAAAGTGTAAGCCAAGGGAAACATCAGCATCTGGGAGCAGGTTGGGATGAGAGGACTATGAGGAGTTATACTCTGATATACCATACATACCAGGCTTTAACAGGTCCAAAAATTTTACTGTGGATGAGTATATCTTAACACTCTTTTCCCTGTCACTGTTTCCTAGACTACCAGAAGGAACCGTACAGTAATGGTGACCCCTGTAGTACCATCTGCTGCCGTGGTGACCTTGACTCTGTGAATCCAGTCCCTTCAGGGTGCTATGACACAAAGGTAATGTACTATTGACTTCTGAACTTAATTTCCACCAACACTTAGACCTACTGAAAGGCAAAGGTACTGAGAAGATGTTTGTGCTGTAAAGCACAGTACTATTTTTAATCATAATCTAGGAGTCGACTTTAATGGTAGGTCCCATTGACTAAGTTCAAGTTCCTGCTCTGTTATCTAATAGTAATGTTGATTTCCTCATCTGTAAAATGTTAATAACAGTACATAATTTGTAGTACCACTGTGAATAATAGCTTTCTATTCAATGTCTGGAGTCCTGGTGTGGCACTGTGAGCAGACTGTAAAGTCATTTGAACTACAAGGTCGGTGGTTCAAGCTCCTTGGAAACCCTATACAGGGGAGCTATGGGTGATAATCGACTTGACGGCACTTCACAACAATAATTCAATGTTTAGAAGAGTACTTGGTAGGTTATTTATAGATATAAACCGCCATGATGGTCATGTGATACTGTCTCACGTTTTACCAGGCAGGCCCAAAGTTCACAAAACATATTCTTGAGAGCAGTGTGATTTCACATTAAACACAAATTGAATTTATCTGAAGGAACAACAATTGGATCAGAAGCACTAACAGGTTTTTCCTTTTTTGAGTTGATTAAGTGCTGCAGTATGTCTCTTAATAAAGTGGTGTGCTGAAGTTGGCTTGTACAGGCTTACGAAATTCTTAAATACAGTTAATATCACATTGCTAGTTTGAAATAGGCCATGGTGGGAGTATTTACATGACAGAAATCAGCAAATACTACATCTCTCAGAGAACTGGTTGTTAAAACACTGGCCTGCGTAGCATTGTAGGATAAGCACTGGACTGCTAACCACTAGGTCAGCAATTCAAACCCACCAGCATTTCCTAGGAAACTCTATACAGGGTCGCTATGAGTCAGAACTGACTTAACAAAGGGCATGACCAGCCATTTAGTTGGTGGAGAAAAATAATCATTCTACAACAGCCCTTGGCACTTTGGGTTTGGGCTTACCACTTTTCATTTGCATTGCGCATCGTGAATTCTACAAGAGACCTGTTTTTCATTGTTGATATAAAGACTACCTGTTCTATTTTCAGCTAAGAAAACTATGCATATAAAAGAATGCCAACCGCACCTACAGATCACTTTCCCTCAGTCTAATGCCTAAGCATGATGCTTTAGAGTTGTCGAGTTCTAGTTCAACCTATATTTTAGTTATGTGATAGCCAAGTTTTAGTATTAATGACTCTCAATATGTTCCTTAATGTAAAAATAAGACCGTGGATGTGGGGAATCTTACATATATGAGGACCCAATGAATGCTTTTTGTTTTTAATATTTGCAAAAGTCAATGAAGTTTAAGAAAAGTGCTCTCTCCATGGCAGAATACACAGAATTGCCTCTACTGTCTTGCCTGAAAGAAGGCAAATCAAGCTCTCATAAGCCAAATTTCATTGGGAAGTTTGCTTTCTTTTGGAACCAGGAATCTGCAATTTTTTCACCAAAACAATTCTCTCTTTAAAAGGCTTTAGAATAGTGGGTAAAATCAGAAGTTAGAAGGCATTTTCCCTTTCCAGTTTAAGGTTAAGAAATGCTACAACCCAGTGTTTTAGGTGCTTTTGAGAACCATGGATCTCATTTTATTTTTACATCATTTCTTCTCCTTTTGTTACTGCCCTAATCCTATTTTGTTGAGGATTTACTGTAGTCTATGCATTTCTCTAAGCAATTTCTGTCACTTATTCTCATGACAGGAACACGGTAGTTCTGTAGGATAAGCACTGGGCTGCACAACACAAGGTTGCCAGTTCGAGCCTATATAGGGTTGCAGTGAGTTGGAACTGACTCCACAGCACTTAACAACATCCTCATGACAATTCTGTAGTAGCATTATAAATCCAATTTTACAAATGAGAAAAGTCAAGAGGGATTAAGTAATTTTAAATTTTAGAGCTTGAATTCTGAACAAAAAATATTTAGACTTTACACTTTCAGCTATTTTGTTGAACAGTAGTCGATTCACTTATGGATGCCAAATGGATACAAAAGAGCATTATATATATAAAGATATGTGAAATCTTACAAGAAAATGTTTTAAAAAGGGCCAAGAGTGTGATTTTGGAGTTCTGGTGTGGCGCTGCAGGTTAATGTGCTGGACTGCAGGGTTGTTTGAAGCGCAGAGTTTGCGGTTCAAGTTCACCAGGCACTCCTCAGAAACTGTATACAAGGTCACTATGGGTCAGAATTGATTTGACAGCACTTAACATTCACAATATTGTGACTTTGAAGATAAATAAAAGATAAGGTTTTTATAAGTTTTTTAAAAAAATGGTTTTCCTCTTCTTCTAGGTGGCAGACATGCATGTGGCAGCCCAGTACACAGCCTATGCCATTAGTGGGCCCACAGTACAAGACGGCCTCCCTGTTTTCCACTGGAATCCTTTCAACAAAACTCTCCATCAAGGCATGCCAGAGGCCTACAACTTTGATTTTATCACCATGAAACCAATTTTGTCAGATGAAAAAATAGAAGGCTGCAAATAAAATACCAAAGGCATTATTAGCTATGTTTTTCCCTTCAGAATTAAAGCTTAACATATTAAATTCCTATTTTGTCACTTTCATTTTACACTGCTGATGTGGTTTGAACAGCAAATATTTTCTATTATAGAGTAGAGCACTATAGAACTAACATTAAATATAACAAATACCAGGCATAAGATTTAAGATTATGTACCACAAGAGGTACATAATTTGAGTCCTGGTGTGGGGCTGTGGGTACTGTGCTGAACTACAAGGTTGGTTTGAACCGCAAAGTTGGCAGTTCGAGCTCACCAGCCGCTCCTTGGAAACCCTATACAGGATCACTATGGGTTGCAACCAACTCAACAGCACTAACCACCACAAGAGGGCATGGCAGAACTGCTCTTTGACTCATCAGAACACTATTACATTTTTATGCCTGGACACAACTAGACCACAACAGCCAAGTTTCCTTAAGTCAGGGCTGTGTAAGCGCTTGCCAAGACAACCACAGTCCCAGCCATCACATTGTAACAGACTAACTTTTAAGTTAATAATTTTGTATGGACCATGATGCTATAAATATCCAAATGGCCCATAAAGGTAAAAGGTTCCCCACCCCTGGCTTAGTTAGTAGTGCCATGTGACTGGGTTCTACTCAGTGGAATCAGAGATGGGATTAGTGCCTCTTCCAAAGTTGGCCCACAAAGACCTGTACTCCTCCATGCTCTTTCCCTTTCTTCTAGGTAAAGAGGCTCAACTACTAAGCCCTAGCGCGGTGGGGGGGGGGTGGACCTTTTTCTGCTAAAACATGTAGTATCATTCAAAGGCCATACAAAATGTTAATTATTAACTTAAAAATAAGCCTGCTAAAATTTGGTCAAACACTGTGGGATAATGTGCACTGGACCGTAAGGTCGACTTAAACCACAAGGTCAGCAGTTCAAATTCACCAGCCGCTCCTCAGAGACACTATACAGAGTCACTATGAGTTTGAAGTGACTCGATGGCACTAACAACATTATGGCTGGAACTGTGGTTGCCTTGGTTGTTGTTGTTATGTACTGTAGAGTCGGTTCCAACTCATAGTGACCCTATACAGGGTTTCCTAGGCTGTAAATCTTTACAGGAGCAGAAAGCCTCATCTTTCTCCCACAGAACAGCTGGTAGTTTTGAACTGCTGACCTTGCGGTTCGCAGCCCAGTTCATAAACACTACGCTACCAGAGTTCTTTGTGGTTGCCTTGGTAGGACAGAACAAATGATTTCACGGGTCTCATACGACGGACCTAGTGTGTGTGGCACTGTGAATTAATGTGCCAGACTGCAAAGTGGTTTGAATTGCAAGGTCGGCGGTTCAAGCTCACCAGCTGCTCCTCAGAAACCCTATACAGGGTTGCTATGGGTCGGAACAGACATGATGGCACTTCACAACAACAACATATGGTGGACCAGACATTTCCCACCCATGCTCAAGAGAATGGAGTTGTTTTGCTATTTGTCGTCAATTTCAACTCATGTTGAGCCTATGTGGACTCCAGGTGTGCAGAGCAGAAGTTTTCAAGGCTGTGACTGTTAAAAAACAGATCACCAGAGCCATCTTCCAAGGGATCTCTGGGTGGGTTCAAATTGCCAACCTTTCAGCTAGTGGTGACAGTGGTCGTTATGTGCCGTTGAGTCAGTTCTGACTCACAGTAGCCCTGTATAGGGTTTGTGCGGCTATAAATCTTTACAGGAACAGAAAGTCTCCTCTTTCTCCTGCAGAGGTGCTGATCTTGAGTTTAGCAGCCTGACTCAAAACCACTTTGCCACCAGAGCTCCTTTGTCAGCTAGTAGTCAAGTTATTTTTAACAAGGAGGGAATTTTTCAAAAGAACCCCAAGAGCTGAAAGAACAATCAGAATAAATCACAGACTACTCAGAATGTTAAAAACCCAGTAGTTTATTTCAAAGTATAAATTTCAGACTTGCTGGACAAATCCCACTACAGTTAACACTTATACAGACACCACTATACTGTACATTTAAAAAAGAAAAAAACAAAACACAAAACCTTCAAAAATAAAAAGAGGGCAACTTGCCCAGTTGATTGATATTAGACATTAGGAAGGTCTTACATTGCCTTATTATTTACACTTTGAGCTGCAATAGAGAAAAGTCAGGATGCAAGTTACCTACAAAGGATTTCTTTTTCCTTTTAATTTTGAAATGGTTGATAAAATACTAAAGGCAGGATCCTCAAAAGGTGGTTGATTTCCCAGTTATTTACAAAAACAAAATAAAAAACTTAAAACAGACAGCATTTAAATATAAAGGAATACTTAGCTGATCCTACAAATAAGAAACAAGGAAAACATTTTTTAACATGATCAAATAATTTGAATATGAGATGACAAAACATGCGTTTTGCATTTTCCTCTTCCTCCCCATGATTGGCTTAAGGGGATGAATGAGTTTCAAAAGCAGGTATGCCTTCTACATTAACAACAAAAAAAAACCCTTAAGAATCACTTTATCCAAAAGAAAAAAAAAAAAAAAAAACCCACATACTTTGCCCAGGCTATATAGTAAGAAAGGCAGACTCATACATTAAATTTACATAAAGTTGTTAGCAATTATCTAATACTTGGGCATGATTTTATTGGAAATCAGAATAAAACAGGCAAATGATGGGTCAGTGATAAAATAAGAAAAAAGAATTGCAGGACATTGAAACAGTCCCAGAAGGAAAGTGGAGGAGAACACTTGGAAGGTCTTTGCAGGACTCTACTGTGCTAAGATCACAGTATACAAGGTGAGAGATGAGGATACCACAGGCATTATTTTGTTGATCTTGTACAGTACTGGAAAATTTATGGAAGATATATGCATATCATGCAATATTAACACTAACCTTGTTGCATAAATGATAATGGAGAGAATATTTAAAGCAAAGGAGCAACAAAAATATCTTACTGTATTAAACACAGTAAGAGAATTGTATAGTGCAATAAAAGCCTGACTAAGAAAGAGTTCTGCAGACAATATGCACCCAAGTAAGATTCTAAGCTCCTTGCTTTTGGGTCATCCACCCCCCCAGGTACTATGTGGCAATGGAGGTGGAGAGAGTAAATAGGGATCACCTCTCTACAAAGCAAATGGTCTCTCACAAAATAATCCACTTTTCAAGGAGGGAAATTATACTCTCTAGTGCTCTGTTAAATTATTATTACTGTGTTAAACAGTACATAGTATTCTGCATATTTTTTAAGTGAATCCAGAGAAATAGAGGGATACAATTATAAAGTTAACTGTAAAGAATAGATGTTTTGCTTGTATACAGTTTACAAATTCACTGGCAAGAACACAATTTTAAAAAGTCACACTTAAAACAGGATGAAAAATTACTCTGACAAAGTGCAAAGTAGAGTAACAAACATCACCATAGTTACCTTTAAAGTCTATAAGCATCCTATATCTCAGGTTGAATCATCAGAAGTTTCCATGATTTCCAGCAGGACAATACTTAGGCAAATATTGTCAGGCTAAAGTTGTAGCAAACTTGTATTCCCCAAGTAGGCCAATGGAGCTTATTTGTAATACTTTATTAAAAGGTACTGTAAAATAAAAAAAGGTACCATGGAGTTTGAATTGCTACTAAAAAACAATCTGTTTTAAGTAGCCTTTTTTAGACATGTCCTCCATTCTGTCTCCCAAAAGAAATAAATAAAATAAAAAGTCAGTATTCCACATTAAAACCTGCTCAAAATGACTGCCTAGATTGCTGGCCTAGCACCTTTTAGTACATTCAACCCAGCTGTTTCTTATATAAATCCATGGTAGGCTGAATTTCAAGGAGCCCACTTACTCTATTTAAACTATTGCAAAATATTTTTGTACCTTCCTTCCACCATCTTGAATAAAAAGTTTTAAGTATTTACCGTAGTAAAGCTATTTTTCAGGTAACTCTGAAAGTTTAATATTTTTTCCTTTGATAGAAAACACATGATAGGCTAAAATAATTAAATATTTTCATCCTACTGGGCTTTCTCACCTGATTATATAATGCTATGAAAGCTTTTTTTTTTCTTCTTAACAGGATTAATGAATATTAACGTTCATGATGAAGAGATTTTAACAGTTTTCTAGGCTAGGGAGGTTAAGTAAATGGTTGTCACATGACCATAAAACAGGCCAGTAGAGGACAATTTGAACATGGGCTTTCTAATTCTGTATACAGGAATCATCTTGAACACATAATCAACATTAAAACCATTGTAGGTAAGAATGTATATACATGCAGATATAGAGAGGTGTTCATACACATCTAGGAAAATCATCAATTTCTCCATTTGAAATGATCATTGTCATGACATTAACAACTTCTCTACCATCATCATTAAAACTCTAACTCTCACTATGGTCTCATTTTCTGCAAGTGAAAGGAAGGTCTCAGAGCATTTACATTTTGGCAATCAGTAAGCTTTCTTCACATCAAATTCCACAATTAAGAGTCACAGTACAAAACCTGTGAAAGTAAACTTTTTTAAAGACAACCAGAAGAATTCCTATTACAAACCATCAAACTTTCAAACGGAAACAGCATTAATTAAAGGGAAAGCTCCCTCCTATAATTCCAAGCAAAATGATATAAGTATTTTGAAACAGCAGGGAAATTAAGTCAATAATGGCAAGGGGCAGATGACTTGAAACATTATTTTGCAAACTTCATCAATTATTTTTAAAAAATTTCCAATCACACCTTCATCCTCACACTTCCCAACCTTCCTGTCCTAAACACTGAGCTCATACCAGTATAGCTGGCATTCATAATTAAAATCCATGATCTAAGCTGAATTTTATGAACTTTGGAAAAGAAATGGCATTACATATCTAGTTGTTACATAAAACAACCCCACAGGATATACTTCTAACTTCTGTTCAAAGCTGACCTAGGGTGAGCGAGATTCAACTTGGCACCATCAAAAAAAATTTTTTTTAATGTTACAACAGGTAGACTGGTAAGGGAATAAAGAGGAAATGGCATTTTCCCTTTGATAGTTTACTGTACTTTGTGAATTTTACCACTAACTTCCTTAAAAAGAACACTAGGTTTTGGTGATAAACTGAACTAAAAAAAATTTTTTTTTCATAATTTCTGGCATACTGTACAACATGGATAGTAAAACATGTTTGAAGGAAACATTATTACACATTGTGTTTTTCTCTTGGTCCAATTATAGTCAATATAAATAGTGACCAAACAATAATCCAATCTATATTCTTATAGAAGAAAATACTAAGTCAACTTTTGAAAGTTAAATGTAGTGGTAGACACTGATGAGAATATATATAAAAGGCTTGGATTTGCTGGAGATGAGGGAGAAATGGAGGATGAAAAGCTGAAAGGGAAGACTAAACAACTCTAGATGTATATATGGCCGTGTTTATTTTTGTAATTAATCTTTAAGGCACAAAATAAATTTAAAACACAAGATGAAGAGAAGGATGGGGGCCATTGTGGATATTTTTTACCTAATAAACAACCTAGAAGAAACCAAAACAAAAGATGAACAGATGGTTTCCTGTGTTCAAATTTTAAACTATTTAAGCCTTATTTTTCCTAAAAAATATATTTCTTTGGGTTTTGTTAAGATTCTGTTTAAATCATTAACTATGATCCCACAGATCCCTTAGAATCAGAATCATATCATGCCAGTTACATACCTCCTATTTCCTTTGAGCTACATATACTTCATTGGAAAAGAGGTAATTTGAGAATGAAAGTAGGAGATTCCACTGCAAGAAAAATGTAAATAAGGAGAAAAAAAAAACCAAAAACAAAACCCTAAACACCACAAAACCAGCCTGTAAACTAAAAGCAAGGGAGCACATTTACATTTCAAAACCTTGATTGTTCAGGAAAATAGATTCTTGCTTTACAGGCTGAGTTTATTTTTACTTTGGGTTATAAACAAATGTAGTGTATAGACACATATGTCCAAGAAATTTTGCAGAAGGTTGATTTACAATAGGTATCATGCACAAGATTAAAAACAAGACCAAAAAGTAGAACTTCTGAAAGAGGAACAGAGATAAAGGCTCCAAGGTTTAACTGCTCTGGGAAGAAGAGATCACATCCGTTGACTGAGGATCACAGAAAGGTCCAAATCGGCCATAAATATCCTTGGCTCTTACTGCAAAGTAGTACTTGCTACCAGATACAAACTGGGTGAGAGTACACGCCATGGGCAAAGGAAGTGCCTTTACTTCTCCAATCTTTTTCCATTGTGAGGGCACAGTGGCACTGGGTTCCTCATGATAAGCATAGAGATGGTAGCTATCAACAGTAGCACAGCTTCGATCCACCTCCAGAACACTCCATGACAATACAATACCATTTTGACTCTGAACTCGTGCTAACTTTAAATGTGGCTTCTGAGGCAGAGATGTGCTGGCAGCTTCTGGGGGCAAACGCTGTGGTTGTGGGGCTTCTGGTAAAGGTGCTGGGTGCACAGGTCGTGGGGGCTCCTAATAAAAGAAGAGTAAGTCACATTAATTTATAAAGATCATAGAAAGAATAGCTTCAGAATGCCAGAAATAAATCACTATAGGGAAAATAGAGAGAGAGAATTTTTCAACAAGAATTCCAGATAATACACCACTCCTGACAACCTCTACTTCGTAATTGGAGACCAATAATGCCCCATCACAAGGAGCTCTCTGGTAACGTAGTGATTACAAATCGGGCTGCTAACCCTAATGTCAGCAGTTCGAAACTACCAGCAGCTCCGCAGGAGAAAGATGAGGTGTTCTGCTCCAGTAAAGATTTACAGCCTCGGAAACCCTGCGCAGGGTCACCATGAGTCGGAACCGACTCCAAGGTACTTAACAACAATAATGCCCCATCACAATGGTGGTGAGTTTACTCCTACCATATTCCTAGACCTAAAATACTGAGTTTTCCTTAGGAAATAAAAGCCCTTGCTGATGGCATTTCATCTTGACAGTGAAATTATCATCTAACAAAATAATCTATTATTTACTTACTTCTGTTTACAGACTCTCATCTTAGTCTAATGTAGCATTTTAAAATATTATATGTAGCAGTGCATCATATGAAGTAACAGATTTCAAATACACTTTAATTTTTAGGCTGTTTTGACATATAAAGACAGTACCATATTCTTATAAATAAACACATTTAAACCCAGATGCTTACTAGTCTGGGATTAAATGTGCTTATTTATAAGAATACGGTACTTAGCACTGGTCCCAACACTGTGCCACTATATATATATGAAAGAGGTTACATTTAAACAGGACCTTCAAGACAGGCATCAGAGATGTAGAAATTGTTGAGTTCATTTTTACAGCCAATGAAATGCGTAAAACATGAGCAAAAGTATGAGAATGGGAAAGTGAAGGGATTTGTGGGCAAGAAAATTTTTTCTAATGTTTTCTGAGACACAGACTATTGAAAGATAGTGAAAATAAACTTTGGAAAGTAGGCTAAAGTCAGACAATGAGACACATAAAGAGTAGTAAGCTTAGGAAGATAATGGTTTGCTGAAAATCATCACACTGTAATATCATCATCAGCAAATCTGGGTTTCAAAATTACACTGATAGCAATTTCCTTAATAAAGATTAAGTAAAATAATAGTCAAGAATTAGAGATATGAAATATATCATTATACGCTGAGTTTATATTGCAAGTGACACAAAATATTAGATTCTCTTAATTGAAGTTCATGATAAAAATGTTTTAGTATGTACCTAATTGATTTGACAATTTGGACAGCTAGTGCATTTTACGAAGGTCTGATCTTTCTCATCTCCATACCTACTCAAAGTTTAGTAGCAGTGACTTGCACACAGTAAGAACTCAGAAAGGATATGCTAAATAATTCCACAGAACGCAAACATACTGCTGAAATTTACATACCTAGTGGAAAAAAATCATCTACACATTTGGAAAAATGTACACTCCATAATTAAGAAGCCAAAAATATTAAGTTATAGGGAAAAAAAGAAATCGTTTAGATTGATGAAATGAATACTGTCCAAACTGATGTATTTCTCTCTGCTATTAAGATGTATCACAAGGTTGGTAGTTAAAACCCATCATCCATGCCACCATCCACACCCAAACCCTATATAGGGTTGTTATAGGTTGGAACCAACTACCTGGCACTTAACAACAGTAACATTAAGATGTGAAAGAAGATGGCTAAATCCATTAACTTTGATTGAAGGAGGCACAGGATTTAATAAACGCTGACAATAGTTTTAAAACGCTTGGTTCTAATTTTTAAGTCTACAAGTCTGAGTCTGCCCAAACCCCAAAGGTCATTTCAATGAAGGTTTTTATTAGTTTTATAGAGTAATAGTTGAAAGTTGGTGGTAGGTATGCGGAGATCATTATATTATTCTCTTTACTTAATAATTTTGGAAAATTCAAATGTAAAGTTTTAAAACATTATTATTAAAATTTTAAAAAGAATGTTTCTTCTGAAACATGATTACAGAAAGCTTGTAAGCCCATCTTCAGCCTGTAACTGATTGGAATACCTAAAATGGGTTCTAGAACTTGTCCAGTGAAATAGGCTTCTTGTGGAGACTTTGTAGTATATAGGACCTTAGGTGGAATCCTAAGCCCCATCCAGAACCTTCTGAGGCGGGACATTCCCATTTGAAAGGACATGCAGATCAGAACAGAGTGGTCAGAAGAACAGAAAATACTTCTTGAAAGAAAGACTATCAGAGGAAAAAAAAAAAATGGCAGTCTGTTAGCTAATACAAGAACAAGTTGTTTGCTAGGGAGCCACCAAGGTAAGTAATCAAGTCCCTTCAGGACAAACCCTCCTCCAAGACTGAAATTCAAAGGGAACACATGAGTAGGCACATAAGCTTGCTGGGCGGAAACTGAGGAAAGACAGCAACAAAGATATAGGCTCAATGTGACCACATCCCATAGACTCCTGTTGACCTTGAGATGAGAGAGACAAAGAAAGCGCTGGTTGGTCCAAAGTGTAGTAAGACTTGGGGACTCCTGAGCCCATGGACAAGGACCTAGCCAAGGAGTACTAGAGCTGACAGTGAATCATCCAGATGATATGAAGTGAGGGGAGATGCACACAAGAATGCCCAAACTTGCAAATAGTACCCATTGACCTAGCTTCAATGGCTTGATAGTAAGAACTCAACTAGAGAAAGAGAAAGAAGTCTGAAAAAGGAAGCAAGTATACTTTGCTACAATTTGATGAACTTGACCTATACTTATGGATGCAGTAGCTCAAAATACCAACTGAGAGGTAAGGTTGAATCTTCACATCAAGGATCAAACCTATCCCCTCTGTACACAGGCAATTTAGACACTGTCTCCCTAAAATGACGGAATGGGGGTGTGGCGGCTATAAAGGCACGAGGTGGTTGGCTTACAAGTTTTCAAGAGGGAGTTTAGCTTCAGAGTGTATGGGAGGAAATAAGAATCCCCACTGTCTAGATGGGTCTGGTGAAAGGATTAATTGATTCAATGTTGATGTTGTTAAGTGCTGTTATAGTGAGTAATTATTATCATACCTAATTGCAATTGTCACAACTATAAAGGTAGAAGCTGCATAACAAAAAGGGGGACATAGTTAAACTTACATTCCAGGAACAGAGAACCCTAGCTAAGACCATCGAGGGAAAAGAGCATGAGCTGAACGTGGGACACTAACCAGAGAAACAGAGACACCAGAGATGGAGGCAGAGGCGATGGCATAAAGAGAGAGAGAAGCTGAGGACTCTAGACCAAAGAGGCTGGCTTCTAGAATGTGTCCTTTGTTTGTTTAAAAGATTATTATATCCCCACAGGTTTTTTGGGGGCTTTTTTTTTTTTTTTTTACATCAAAAAGAAAAAAGAGGGGGATTTTCTTGATAAAAGAAACAATCTATGATAGTTTTGGAGGGAGGAGGAAATGATACATGTGCTAGAGGGTGACACGCATTGACATGGGTGATGAAGCAGGCAATATACAACCGGAGGGAGGCCGGCAGAGGAAAGATGGGGGTGGCAGGAGACACAGGGAGGAATGCAGTGGTTGGAGTGAATAGAGGTAAATGCTGTGAACTGTCTGTGCATGGAGGGATTGCAACCATGTAATGAAGAAAAGTATATGATTTGTTGAATGTAAAACTGACAATCTATTCTGTAAACCTTCACTCAGTTCACAATAAAAAGTTAAAAAAAAAAAAAAAAAAAAAGAAGAATGTTTCTTCCGAAAGAGATACACAGCTTATATAAAGCAGTATGCATGGGAAACTGTTTAAGAAGGAAGGAAGGATGGAAAGCTCTGATTCTCAAATTTGTAAAATAATAATATAAAGAATTCCACTATATACTGTCTGAAGAAATATGTGATAAAAAAGAAATAACTTGCAAATGCAAACAATTGTAATGACATATTTGTCACATATCCTAATAGGGTCAGATTTAAAGCACAGTGAAAATATTCTGAACGTTCTGGGATCAAACAACATGAGATTTTCTTAAACTGGGCTGGATATGGCACTGGTAATGACACTTAGCATCCAGTGACACAGTATCCTTTCCTACCAAAATAAAGGGTAAAAATTATGATAAGTTGTGAGTATTTAATAAAATAATACACAGAAAGTGCCTGGAATACAGTAAATCATACATTAATGACAGTGTTTTTCAATGTAGTGGAACAATAAAAAGAGCACAGGCTCTACGGCTGGAATGCATAGGTGCATTACTAGGTTTGGTTACTTAATCCCTCTGTGTACTAGCTGTCTTATTAATGGGGGGGGAGAAGGATAGTAACAGTATTCTAAAGCACTGCTGTGTGAGGACCTTGTATATTAACAGTGTCTGCCACATGTTAAGCACTATAAATGTTAGCAATCATTATAAAAGGATGCTTTTCTAGGTTAAAAAAAAAAGTTACTATGAATGCTAGCCTTGCTAGTGCTCTTGCTCTGAAATAAAGCTATCATTTCCATTTACATGGCATATTTCATATCAATCATAATGTCACAGGATAATGTAACATTGCTTTGGGGTTAAATCTAAGTAAAAATCTTTGGCTTTCTCTGTTTATCTTATAACAAATGAATTCCAAGTACTTTTTAAGATTATTGAAAATAGTAAGCTGATGGAGCATTAAAATTGGTATAATGTTTTGAGGAAAAGAATAAAGTTAGTGCCTGAAAGAATAGAAAGCATCTTTTAATTTAACCATGAGTTAGAAGTGGTCCATTTTACTTTCCTTGACCTGTGGACTCTGTCTGTACTTTCTACAAGCAAATTCAATGATCCTAAATGATGATATCCACAGAAAGGTATAATGTTAATAATGGTTAGTTAGATCAATTTTCTGGGGAAAAACAGAAAGACTTATCTATCTTTTACAAAACTACTTTTAAAAAAAAAATGTTACTGACAGTATATTTTGCATCTTTACAGTTGAGAATCTTATAAAGCCAAGCCTTAACACTTACAGTATGCACTTGTGGTGGTCGATGATGTACTGTGAGCTGAGGTCCTGTTGATCCCAGCGTTAGTCCATTGTTTACAACATATGTAGTTGTTTGAGGCACTCGAACTGTGACACCTACAAAAAAATTAAAGGACAAAAACAAAAACTTATTATAATCTAAATTTGGTGAACATTATCAATGAAACAATGCTTGCAATATTTAAATGAAAACTATTGTCATCATAAAAGTCTACATTCAGCCAGACTTTCAAATATGTGAATAAAAACGCTGTTGCCAAAATGAGAGGGCAAATCAAGAAGAGGAAAACATTAAGATATACGGAACAGGACATCCAGCACAGGAGGAAAGTAAATGGAATCTACCAGAGGGCTATGAGCAAAAATCCTAGAACAAGGATTGTATATCACAGGTAGAGGGTCAGTCTAGTGAGAACAGCGTGACTCAAATGATAAAGACAATTTGAAGCTGTCTTCATAAAGATTCCTCTTGTATCAGTTTTTTAACCAAGACAGAAAGCTTAAATAAGTCAACTGCCTTGTATTAATGAGCTTACTTCATTGCCCTCCATGCCCTAGTGATCGGTTGAGCGTTGAGGATATTCACTTTATCCCACAGAAGTACTCGATCTGCACGATCACGAGGACAATAAAAACAGGGAATTCAAGTTACCCTGATCATACTCTTGTCCATATCTGGCCCATACTATAGTTCTATAGTTCTACCAGAAACTCTGACTGTGGTGAGCCCTGCATTACTGATTTCCTCAGAGAGAAATCTTGTAAATTCTTGAGAAAGTTGGAGTCAAACAATGCCCCAGAGACTCTGCTAGTTTATTTTCTCCTGGAGACATCAACCAATAAATGAATTATTATTGCAGTTTCTTGTTCTTGGTTCTAAGTCTTGCAAAATAAAATCACATATATATACACACATACATGTAAGTGATAACTATACAGATGACAAAACTATAAAAGCATTAAGAGTAAAAAGAAAGTAAGGTAAGTGGTAACCTCTGATGCAAAGGAAGAGGGATATGATTAAGGAAGGGCACACAGGAGGCTTATAGTAATCAGATGACACAGTTCTTATAATTGTAACCTTGTAGAGTTCACAGAGGATTCATTCTATTATTTAACTTTAAAGTTTAAATATACATTTTATGTAAACTCTGTTTGTGACATATATTTTACAAGTAAACAAAACAAAGCTTATGTGGAAACCACAAGTTTCTTTCTATTCTTATAGTTCAGTCACCTTCCATACCTTTAAGATTCTTTCTCATTGAAGGCTATCCTTATTACTATACCTTATTACTATTATTAGGGCTAAGTCACAATTGATAACACCTACTTTAATTAGGCAGAGTATCTCTTACAAGAAGGAAGTATGGATCAATACACTTCAGAGTACTATAATATTTCATGTGTTGTCAAGTGCCATCAAACTGGCTCCCACTCATAGTGATCCTGAATAGGGTTTCCAGGGAACATATGATGGGTTAGCAGTCCAGTGCTTACCCTACAGTACCATTCCAGGAGCCCTGATAGTACATACAAAGTCACAAGTTATTAAAGTTAAATTGAAGTCAACTCAGGGAGCACAAATCACACGGTAATAAATGTCCACTTTTTTCTGGTTAGCTCTTGTAAAGGGGTAAAATGAATTGCTGATAGTTTTAATACAACATTACAATCAGTTTTTAAGTCTAATGTCAACATAAGCTAGTACAATTAAATGCTAAGAAGAACTACATATAACAAGAAATCATATACGAGAAAAGGTCTCTCTTACTATTTTGAGGATTGACCTGCCGAACAGCAGGTGCCTGCATAACAGTTCCTCGCAGGGGAGCCTGAGCTGGTGGTGCCGGCAAAGTAGTATACACAACTTGGTGGTTTGCAGGAGCTCTTGGTACAGGAAGTCTTGTGGTAACCTGAGTTACTGGGTTATGTGTTACATTCACGGTGGTTGGAGCTAAGAAAAGGCAGAAAAATTTATTAAGAATGTGATAAATTATTCTATAAACATATTAAGTTGCAATTGTTGTTGTTATGTGCCATGGAGTCAATTCCGACTCATAGTGACCCTGTACGGGGTTTCCGAGGCTGTAAATCTTTATGGGAGCAGAAAACCTCATCTTTCTCCCGTGGAACAGCTGGTAGTTTTGAACTGCTGACCATGAGATTAGTAGCCCAATTCGTAACCACTACACTTTACCAGAACTCCTTACCTTTGTATAAAATCCAATTATTTGCAATAAAAGGATAAACAGAAACAGCAGTCTCTATTTATAATCTTATAAGACAGGAATGGTAAAACCAACTATAGTTAATGATACTACAAAATATATTTTAGAAGAAAAGAGCACCTCAACAATGTCTAAATCCCTTAATTCTACAATTTGACTAGATAATAAGTAAATAAAGATAAACTAAGGGTCTAGACTCTATAACTTAAAGCAGCAGCTTACCCCTCCTCAATTTTAAATTGCTCTTATCAGAATGGGTTCCTCTGCATCTTCTATCAAGTGGATATCCAAAAAAAAGTAACTTTGTATTCCCATAGTTCAAGACACTAGCTATTTTCATTCACATTTTTTCAGGTAAACAACCTCTTATTCAGAATATTAAATTTTCCATCAATATCTTGTTGTTGTTAAGTGCTGTCGAGTTGGTTCCGACCCATAGTGACCCTGAACAGGGTTTCCGAGGCTGTAAATCTTTATAGGAACAGAAAGCCTCATCTTTCTCCCACAAAGCAGCTGGTAGTTTAGAACTGCTTACCTTATGGTTCGCAGCCCGATTCATAACCAGTATCTAGAGTAATACTAATAGATAGTTAACCAAAAAAGGAGTTTTGAATGTTCACTGGTAGCATGGAAACATGGTAATGATGCTTTTACATTTTGTTTCTAATACTCAGAATTAGGATCTTATTTAACAAATGATCATGCATTAACTATAATAGCTCAGTTTGGGAGAGCATCAGATTAAAGTTCTAAAGGTCCCTGGTTTAATTCCAGGTTTTGGACAAATAGTATTTTGATTTTAGGGCGTCCTGGTGTGGCACTGTAGGACAGCACTGGACTGTTTTCCTAAAACCTAAGAGTCATGTTCAAATCCACTAGCCACTCCTTGGAAATCCTATGTAGGGCAGCTAAGAATTGGAACTAATTTGATGGCACTTAACAACAACATATATAATCTTCATGTGAAAATTGGGTTCTCTAAATAGAGGAAAATGCTAAACATAAGAAAGATAAAAAGTTTCTTTACTGATGCCATAGTCTCTACAAAACCTAACTTTCAATGTGTGCCTTTCAAAAAGAGAGAGGATCATACAGGTAGAAACAATTACTTCTTCAGTTCTTTACTCCTCATTCTAATATCTGCACTGCACATGACATTACATAATGACATTTCATTCTAAAAATTTTAATTAGGTGACTGTCACAATTTTGTATAAATGCAAAGAAACATAGATAACACACTACTTATGGCTGAACTAGAGTCCTGGGGAAACAAAAATAGTTTTAAGAACTTATGCATGTTACAGCTGGACAATGAAAAAGGCTGTAGAAGAACTGATGCATTTGAGTTATGGTGTTGGAGAAGAATACTAGAGTACCATGGACTTCCAGAAGAACAACCAAGACTGTATTGGAAGAAGTACAGCCAGATTATGCTCTTTAGAAGCCAGGATGGACAGACTTCATCTCTCATACTTTAGACATGAAGGAGGGACCAGTCCCTGCAGAAGGACATCATGTTTGGCAAAGTGGAGGGTCACTGAAAAAGAGGAAGACCCTCAATGAGATGGACTGGCAGCAATGAGCTCAAACGTAGCAGCAATGAGCTCAAATGCAGCAACCATTGTGAGAATGGTGCAGAAACAAGTAGTGTTTCGCCCTATTGTGCATAAAGTTGCTGAATGGCACCTAACAACAACAACAAGCTACCCAGAAAGCTTGGCAGTCTATATCAACCAAGAGACACTTCACAAGAAAGGTCTAGAGTACTACTTCTGAAAGATCGCAGCCAATGAAAACTATGGAGCACACAGTTCTACTCTGAAACACATGGATTTACATGAGTAAAAACCAACTCGATGGCAACCAGTATTTTTTTTTTTAAATGGTTGACCTTTTAGTAAATACTGCCATTTAGACAGAATATTTAAAGTTAAATAAGAATAAACATAAAACCTACACACTAGAAATAAAATCATATAAGCACTATTTTTGACTGGCAATGTCAATGAAGTGAAATGTAATTCAACTCACAGAAAATTCTGACACAGAATCTAGAATTGAAAAATTCAACAATGTAAACAATTAATCAAACGTATAAGTATTAACCACATCAACAATAACTTGACGATTCTCAGATTAATTAAATAAATGGTTTGGAAACTACTATCCTATTCCTACAAATTACTTGGGTATTCTCAGGAACTATATCACTGGATAAAATCCCACATGAACTCAACATTTTCCTTGAGTACCTAGTAGTTTGTATAAAAAAATATCTTTATGCAATAAACTGCTCTATAAACACAAATTGTCTTGATTGGATTAAAAACAGTTTAAAAGATACAGATTACATACCAATAACTTCTGACATAAACCTTCTTGAGCCACAGGCAGATATAATATGTATAGAAGTATGGTGGTGATGGTTACGTGCTGTGGAGTCGGTTCTGACTCATAGCGACCCTGTACAGGGTTTCTGAAGCTATAAATCTTTACAGGAGCAGAAAGCCTCATATTTCTCCTGCGAAACAGCTGGTAGTTTCAAACTGCTGACCTTGAGGTTCGCAGCCCAATACGCTACCAGAGCTCCTTGCATACAAGTGTATATACCTCCCTAATGGTAGTAACTAACCCAGTTAAAAATAATTGAATTTGGAACTCATTTATAAATTTTTATTTGATTAGTCAATTCGTTAGGTTATGTGGTTGTTACCGCTGATAAGTGCTGTCAAGTTGGTTCTGACTCATAGCGACCCAATGTGCAACAGAACAAAACACTGCCCGGTCCTGTGTCATCCTTACAATTGCTATGTTTGAGCACATTGTTACTGTCACTATCAATCCATCTCCTTGGTGGGGAGGAGGGAGATCTTTCTCTTTTTCACTGACCCTCCATGTTACCAAGCATGATGTTCTTTTCCAGGGATTGATCCTTTCTGACATGTCCAAAGAATGAGAGGTGAAGTTCTGCCATCATGGCTTTTAAGGAAAATTCTAGCAGTACTTCTTCTAAGACAGATTCATTTGTTCTTGTGGCAGGTTATGACACTTTCAATAGTCTCTACCAACACTGTAATTCAACTGCATTGATTCTTCTAAGGTCTTTCTTACTCATTCTCCAACTTTCACATGCATATGAGGGGACTGAAAATACCATGGCTTAGATCAGGCGCACCTTAGTCCTCAAAGTGACATCTTTGCTCTTTAACACTTTGGTTAAAGTCAGAATTAATCTTTACACTCAACCCCACTTCTAGAGAAATTGCATTTATTTTCTCAGTGTACAATGATAGATGGCACAGCCATATTTAGCTTAAGCCCTCTTTATAATTATTCTTACTACCAGCATTGCTACAGAAGAAGTTCAGGCAAGTCATACTGCATTCAGAAGATGTACACTGTCTTCAAAATGACAATGGAAATTATGCTTAATTCTAACTTTTCATTCAATTTCAATCACATTTCTCAGTAGGCAAAGTAGTTTCAGCTCAGTGATTTGGCAAATTTACCTGTAGGTAGTAAGTGTATCGTTGTTTGAGATGGTCCACTTGTTGGCACCCCAGATGGCTGGAGAGGGGGCGCTGGCTGAATGGGTTGCAATGGTCGAGTCACAGGCTGAGAAGAACCAATGGTTGATACAGGAGCATGATTTAGTTTTTTAGGTTCTGTTAATTGAAAGTAAAACATTATGATTATCGAAAGAAACAAAAGCCAGAAAAACAAGTTTTGTCTCTAGGATGAATTTTACTTTTGCTTGCCATTTGGCTGCTACCGGATAGGTTAGACTATGCAGGAGAAAGATGTAGCAGTCTGCTTCTGTTGATTTACAAGTTAGGAAACCCTATGGTTTTACTTTGTCCTGTGAGGTTATAGGAGTCCTGGTATGGCACTGTGGGTTTAACGCGCTGGAGTGCAATATCGGCTTGAACCACAAGCTTGGAGGTTCAAGCTCACTAGCCACTCCATGAGAACCCAATACAGGGTCGCTATGGGTTGGAACGGACTCAACATCACTTAATAACAACAACAATAGGGTGGGTCACTATGAGTAGGAATCAACTAAATGGCAGTAGGCTGTTTTTTGATGTTGTTTTGTTTTTTAACCACTCACTTGGGCATCACATGTACATCTCAGAGAACAATTTCTTTTTGTTATTTTTGTTGCTGTTAATTTGAAAACTGAGTCAAAGAGCTTAAATAATTTATTTTTGGACCTATCATAAATTCTTACTAAAATTCCGTTTTATACTTTAATTCTTAGAGAAAAAATTCTATCTCTGGATTCAATACAGTATCATGTCAACTAAAAAACAAATTTCATTGCCTAAATGACCATATGTTTATATATTTAGTTAGCTGCAAAAAGATAGTTTCCTAGACAAATACCCATAAACTGATGAGTTTCTTATGTGATCTTAAATTCCAGACACCCTATTGTTTAGGTTTTTTTTGGTCAGATAACATAAGATGGTTACTTATTCTCACTATTTATTCTTTATTAAAATAAAATACACATAGACTATGTTATCTGAAAAATTTATCTCCAATGCTCTAGGAAATGGACTCCTGGTATGGTGCTGGATTGTGAACCACAGGTTTGACAGGTGTTATCCAGAAATCCTGTACAGGGTCACTGGAGTCACAATTGACTTGACAGCACTTAACAACAACAAACCCTAGAAATAAATTTATGTATCTCAGACAAACTCTTAAAAATCCACTACGCAATAAAAAATATGTAAGCTGAAAGCATGTGTATCCAAAATTAACTCAAAAAACAAAATTAACTCCACTGTTTTGTTCTCCCATGCTGATTTTCTAGTCTTAATAGAATTTCTTACTGAAAAAGGAATGAAACTTAAGACTTCGGTAGCTGGTACCTGAATAAGGCGTGACTAGAGAGTATACACTTGAGAATTGGAGAATTTAAGATGAATCTAATTTAAGCAGAAAGAGATCACATGCAAAAGGGATGCTAGAAAGGAAGATGTCATGCGCACTGAAAACAAACTTACTTTTACTTTTTTATGCCAATCTACAGATTAAATCATGTTGTGGCACCATAGAACAAGAAGTCGACCTGAAGGTCTGAACTGCATGGTTCAAACTCACCATCCACTCCTCGGCAAACCTATACAGGGTATCTCTATGAACCAGAACTGACTCAAGAGCACTTAACACAACAACAGATGAAATAAAGGAAAATATAAGATGAAATTATAGAAAATTTCAGAAAACAAGCTAGCAAATAATTGGGGGGGAAAAAAAAGGGAACCATACAAAAACAATTAGAAAGCCAGAAGATTAATACTAAGACTTCAAAAATAGAGAACTCACAGAAAGATCAAAGAAGTACGACTGAATTAATGGAAAGCTCATTTACTGAACTTGAAGAAAAATCCCTCAACATTCAACTGCTATAGGACCAATCAGAAAAAAGAACAACAAACAAAACAAAAAATCCAAAGCCTATGGTTACGAATCGGGCTGCGAACCTTAAGGTCAGCGGTTCGAAACTACCAGCCGCTCCGCGGGAGAAAGATGAGGCTTTCTACTCCCGTAAAGATTTACACTCTCGGAAACCCTGTACAGGGTCGCTATGGGTCGGACCCGACTCGATGGCACTTAACAACAACAACAACATTAGGATACTATCAAGAGGGAGTAATAACCTACATGCAATAGAAATTCTCGAACAGAAAAACACACACAAAAATAAGAACTCTAGAAAATATTTCCAAAAGTTGTTGAAAGAAAACTTACCTAACATCATGAAAGATGAGAAGACAGCCATTCAAGAAATTATATGTGAGTTACAAACACGATATACACCCCCCCCCCAAAAAAAACACCAAGACATATTATCTTTGAAAGTCAAACTTCCAAAACCAATGACAAGGCAAGAATCCTGAAAGCAGCTCAGGAAAAACCAACAGTAACTTACAAAGGAGAACTAAGCTCTGATTTCTCAGGAGAAACCATGTTTTCTCATAAGAAAACAATGGAATGATAGATATAAAACTCTGAAAGAAATAAATTTCCAACCACGAACCATACATCCAGTAAAATTGTTGTTCAAATATGTTATATGTTGGCAAAATTAGCACATTTTCAGACAAACCGAATTAAAATAATTTGTAAAAACTAGGCCAACCTTACAAAAAATACTAAACAGAGCTCTTTGGACAGAGAAACACCAACAGCAACAATCCGAGACTAACATAAATGACAATGTCACCTAGCCCCAACCCAGATGTGGTGGTGGTGTGCCGTGGAGTCGGTTCTGACTCATAGTAACCCTATGTAGGGTTTCCGAGGCTGTAAATCTTTACAGGAGCAGAAAGCCTCATCTTTTTCCCGTGGAAGAGTTGGTAGTTTCAAACTGCTGACCTTGAGGTTAGCTGCCCAGTTCATAACCACTACGTTACCAGAGCAACTTGTAACTTTAAAGTAAAATGAGGGAATAATCCTGTTATAGAACTTACAAATGAGGAGAAAATCAAATCAACTGTAATAAAAAATGAAAATAAACCTAATTGTAACCCTAAAAATGAGACCAAGTCTTACTCCCAGCCCAACACATACCCTTAGCACTAGTCCTAACCATTGTTGTTGTTGTTAAGTGCTGTCGAATTGTTTGTAACTCACAGTGATCTCAAAATGGTGAGTTTGAACCACGGACTTTGTGGTTCAAACTGACACTGCAGTTGAGAACTTATCCTACAGCACACCAGTCCTAACCATAACTGTAACAATAAATAAAGTCCTAAGCCTAACATAGATCCAGTCACAGTCCTAACCCTAACCCTCACTCATTAACTCTTACTCATTGGCCCTCCAAAATATAAATTAAAATTAGAAAAAAGAATCAAGATTTATAGTCTCAGGAACCCTACGAAGCAGTTGTACTCTGTCCTATAGGGTCACTATGAGTTGGCATTGATTCAATGACAGTGGGTTTTTCATCATAATATTTATTGAACAATGTCGGACATTTCAAAAGAAGATGGAAGGAATATACAGGATCAATGTACCAAAAATAATTAGTTGATGTTCAACAATTTCAAGAAGTAGCATATGATCAAGAATTGATACTATAAGTCCAAGCTGCACTGAAAGTACTGATGATAACCTAGGCTCCAGGAACTGATGAAATACCAGCTGAAATGTTTCAACAAACAGATATGAGCTGGAAGCACTCACTCATCTATGCCAAGAAAGTTGGAAGACAGCTACCTAGCCAACTGAGATCCATATTCATGCCCAGTCCAAAGAAAAGTGATGTAAAAGAATGCAGAAATGCTTGAACAGACAGTAATATCATTAATATCAGACATCAGTAAAACTTTTGCAAAGACATGAAAAAACAGTTGCCACAGTACATGGGCAGAGAACTACCAGAAATTCAAACTGAATTCAGAAAAGGATGTGAAATGGGGCAGTCACTGCTAATATCAGATGGGTCTTACCTAAAAGCAGAAAATACTAGAAAGATGTTTACCACCAGTGTTTTATTGACTATGCAAAAAACTTTCATAATAAATTATAGAAATAATGCAAAGGACTGGAATTCCAGGACATATAATTTTGCTCATACACATATGAAGAGCCAATCACATGTCAACAGAACAGAAGGGGATATTGTGTGGTTTAAGACCAAGACGGACTCCTGGTGTGGCATTGTAGGGTCAGCACAGGACCGCGAACCATAAGCAGTTCAAACCCACCAACTGCTCCTCAGAAACCCTATACAGGGTCACTATGAGTTAGAACCAACTCAATGGCATCACTTTACAACAACAACAACGAAACCATGAAATGTGTGCAACAGCATTTTATCTTTTCACTATACTTATTTCATCTGTATACTGAGCAAGTAATTCAGAAAGTTGGGCTATATGAAGAAGTTGGCATTCAGTATGGAGGAAGACTCATTAACAACAAGTAATGCAGGATCTGCAGGTGACATAACCTTGCTTACAGAAAGCAAAGAGGACCTGAAGCACTTACTGATAAAGACCAACGACTACAGCCTTCAATACAGATTATATCTCAATGTAAAGAAAACAAAAATCTTCACAACTGGACCTATAAATAGTATCCTGATAAACAGAGAAGAGATGGAAACTGGCAAGGATTTAATTTTACTTGAACCCACAATCAACACTCACATAAGCAGTAGTCATGAAATCAAATGACTTATTGCATGGGGCAAATATGCTGTCAAATACCTCTTTGAAGCATTAAAAGAGCTAAGCCATAGTATTTTCAAGTACCTCATATGCATGTAAAAGCTGGTCAATGAAACAGGAAGGTCTTAGAATAATTACTGTATTTGAACTGTCCTGCTATGGAGTCTTGGTGTGGCTCTGTGCGTTAATGCTCTGGACTGCAAGGTCAGTTTGAACAGCAAGGTTGGTGATCCAAGCTTACCAGCTGTTCCTCAGAAACCCTATACAGGGTCAACTATGATTGGAACCGACTCAGTGACACTTAACAAGAAGAATAACTACTGTATTTGAACTGTGCTATTAGCAAAGCACATCAAATAATACCATGGACTGCCATGAGAACAAACAAATCTGTCTTGAAAGGACAGCCAGAATACATTTTAGAAGGGAGAATGGCTGCGACTATTTCACATACTTTGAATAAGTTATCAGGTGACATCAGTGCCTGGACAAGGACATAGTACTTGGTACAGCAGATGGTTAATAAAAAGAAAGAAGACACTGACCAAGATGGAATAACACAGTGGCTGCAACATAATGATTGTAGAGATGGCACAAGACTAGGCAGTATTTTGTTCTGTTAGACATAAGATTGCTATGAGTCAGAACCAACTTGACAACACCTAATTAACAAGAAGAAGGGACAAATTATATTCAGAAAGTCTTGTTTATTAAAAAACTGAAAATACTACAGGTAACTTGAAGCTTTTTTAAATTAATCATATTGGTATATATCCTGATAAATGAAACAAATCTCCCAATTTTACTTCAGGTTTTATACAAAACAAACTTTACTGTCCTATGAATTTAATTGCAAAGCTAGTTAATTTTGTTTTTCTAGTACCAAATGAATTCTTATTCTCAACAATATGACATTTTTAATCTGTAGGCTAGTTTTATAATGTTTTTAAGGTAGTAATAATGTTATTAGGTGATGCCACAGTTCTAACTCATAGCAACCCTATGTTGTTGTTAGGTGCTATCGAGTTTGTTCAGACTCAGGTGACTCTATGCATAACAGAACAAAACACTGCCCAGCCCTGTGTCATCTTTATAACTATTGTTATGTTTAATCTTTTATTGTTGCTGCCACTGTGTCAATCCATAACTTGGGAAGGGGTCCTTTATCTTTTTCACGGAACCTCCACATTTCCAAACCTGATGTACTTCCCCAGGGACTGGTCTTTCCTGATAATATGTCTAAGTATAAGAGATGAAGCCTCACCATCTTGGCTTCTAAAGAACATTCTGGCGTACTTCTTCCAACACAGATTTGTTTGTTCTTCTAGAAGTCAATGGTACTCTTAATATTCTTCTCCAACAATGTAACTCAAAATGCATCAACTCTTCTACCTTCTTCACTGTCCAATTTTCAGATGCATATGAAAAGCTACTGAAATACTATGGCTTGGGTCAGGCACACCTTAGTCCTCAAACTGGTTGTCTTCTCTTGTGGTGTGTAGCAGCTTTGCCTAATGCAATACGTCATTTGATTTCTTGATTGCTGTTTCCATGAGTGTTGACAATGGATACAGGCAAAATGAAGTCTTTGACAACTTCAATCTTTTCTCCATTTATTATGATGTTATTTATGAGTACAATACAACAGAGAAAAAAAGAAAGCACTGTCCACATGCATTATTTAATTCCAAAAGGGATACAAAAATAATCAACATGCTGTTGTGGAGACGTCTTTATAAACTATTATACAAATAAAAACTTTTATCAAAATATTCTTCAGTACAATTACTTTAGTACCTTGTGAAGTTCCACTCTCTTCATCATCCATTGTGAGATCAATGACACCACCTGAATCACTGGCTGTGGCTTTCCCAGTCTGAAAAACAAAACTCTTTTAATTTACAAAGGAATCTCTGGAACATAGAACTGGAAAATGAACTAGGGAGGAGACATACGTATGGGTAACGAGTAGCCTGTTCAATCTGGACCCATAAATGGCATTACCTGAAGAAAGCTTGTTCAATTAAGTGCTCTAGATTATTCATGAGTTAAACCTTTTCCATGAAAGATTTGAAAAGAAATTTTGGAAGTTTTCAAAATTGACCTATTGACTCTCCATAGAACTACTAAATGTAATTATATGGGTTATAAGTGCTTTAAATACAAAGCTCACTTTTACCCAACATTTAAAATGTTGACCAATTCTAACCTAAATTGGCACTATTAATCTACCAAAACACCAAAGGCAATCTTTAAAACTAGTATTAGGTGACATACAGAATTAAATTTTTATACTAAAAGATGATATGATATTGTTGTGAATTGCGTCAAGTTGGTTCTGACCCATAGTGACCCTGTATAGGGTTTCTGAGGAGCAACTGATGAGCCTGAACCACTGACCTTATGAGTTCAAAGCAACTTTACAGTCTGGCGCACTAATCCACTGCAAGATTCCATTATATATATTGTATTGTGTACTAAACTGTAGCCCTCCAATCTGTATGCTGAACTCCTGGCCCTATACCCCTGTATATGTGATCCTCTTTGAAAACACAGGGTTTCTTTTGTTATGTTAATGAGAGCACACCATTATAGAGTGGGCTCTAAATCACTTCTAAGTTATAAAAATTGGTTACAGAGAGAGAAACACACAGAGGGAGATAGACACCATATGAGGACTATCTAACAAGCCAAGGATCCTCAACGAACCAAGGAATTCCCAGGACTAATGCAGCAATATGACTGAGACCCTGGTTTTGAGTTTTACCCAGAAGTTTAAGAATATTCATTTTTGTTCTTTAAATTTAGCCACTTTTGGTATTTGTGTTACAGCAGCAATAGTAAGAAAATATGATGTAACACAGTAAGCTATATAGCAATCTTCAAATTATAAATGAGTTCTGTTCCTAAGCCTGTTCTTAAGTCTAATTTGTACATTAAGTCAAAACAGTTAGATAAAGTTTGTATCTAATGTCAGTTAGTCATATGTTTTAGTACAGAGTACAGAGCATAACTTTTTATGTGCAATAAACATTAAAGAAATGCTTCCAGATCTACTAAAATATCTTGACCATTATCATTACAATAATACAAATGGCTTGATGTGCATTGCAAAGTAGCCCCCAATTGGTACTATGAACAGATAGGGTATATGAGGGAACTTCAAAGTGTCAGTGGAAATTTTCCAGTATCTTTTGATTCTATTTTTCTATGAACTTTCTGAAGCCCCCTATCATGTATCTCAAGCCCCCTATCATGTATCTCAAATTTTTAATACAATAGGATTTACCAGGGTTGCTCATCAACAATACCTATATTTAAGTTGGACATTCATAACCAAGAAATTGGCTATATTATTAACCAGATATTCAAAATGAGCAAAGTCAACCCTTTTTCTAAAATTGGAAACACAAAATTTTTAAAAGAAAAGTATTTTTTAAAACCACAAAATATTTTCCTCTCTTAAAAACAAAACACACAACAACAAAAAAGAAAGTGGTACAATATAGGCCTCAAACGCCATGAATTTGGAATCAGAAAAACTGAGTGCATCTTCCAGCTCCAATATTCCAAACAAACACATTGCCATCTATTCAATTTTGATCCATAAGTCACCCTGTATAGGACAAAATAGAACTGCCCCATAGGGTTTCTGAGACTAAATCTTTACAGAAACAGACAGCATCAGCTTTCTCCCTCAGAGCATCTGGTGGGTTTGAACTGCTGACCTTGTGGCCAGCAGTCTAATGCTTAGCCTACAATACCACCTGGGTTTCTTTCAATAATTATTAATTATGTGAATAAAAATTAAGAGATAAATTTCTTCAATTTCCTAAATTTTGAAGGGGGAAGCTGTTCTGAAGATGAATTCATATTGCATAAAGTGCCCAACACCAGGCCTGGCACATGGTATATGTTCAATAAATGATCAATTTAATTTATCCTAAGGAGCCCTAGTGGTGTGCCAGTTAAGTACTTGACTGCTAACTGAAAGGTTCAAATGCTGCTTTGTAGGAGAAACATACTGCAGTTTGCTTACTTAAAGAGTACAGCTTTGGAAATTTCATGGGACTGTTCTCTACTTCTCTACCCTTTTAGGGTCACTATGAATCACTATCAACTGGCTGACACAGGTTTTTTCGGTTAGAATTTATTTTATGATACTCTGAGATAGGCTCCAACAAATTGCTTATTAAGATTTTCATGTGTAAAATTAAACTTTTACAAAACTAAAGAAAATAATTCTTTGAAGTTCATAAAACGTGAACCCAGTCCCAAAATGATGCAATTCTAATTTCTTACAATTTAAACAGTTCTCTAATAATTTCACAGATAATGTCTATTTACAAACAACACATATCTGTAAAAGCCCAAAGTAAAGTCCCACCACACAAATCTACAAAATTTACAACTTTAAAATTCCTAGCAATGTTAAAATAATGTAACAGAATCCACTTGCTACAACATTATCTACAATGAAACCATATAAAGGCCAGTGAATTGAGACCCCACTTTGTAATTGAATCCAAGTGGATCCAGAAGTTACATCTAAGACTTTAATGAAGTAACTCAAATTACATTTTAAAAGGTAAAGGAAAATATGATGTGAATATAGAGTTGCAAGAATTCTATAACTTATCTAAATAGCTCAATATTAACTATAAATAATATAAATATATGGTATAAATTTAAATTCTGAATTCTAATTGTAAACCCCAGAATAACTGATTTAAAAATCGAAACCACATGTAGTTAGAAAGCTAATAGAAAAGTAAGACAGAATGCTTTGGTTTTTTTGTTTTGTTTTTTTTTTAAAAAAAGACATAAAGCAAATTCTTAAAAGGTACAAAGAAAGAGACAAATTAATAAAAAAGTAAAGTAGTGGACCTAAGAACACCCATACGACCAATAAAATTATATTAATGCACAAACTAAATGCTATCAAAATATAGGGATTGTTAGATGGGACAAGAAAGCTATAATTTGTCTACAAAATACCACTTAAAATATGAAGTTACAACCAAAAAAACAAAACATGTAAACATTAAGCAAAGAAAGAATGGCAGCTGTGTCTACGTTAACATTAACAAAAGGCAAAGAGGGAAGCTTTATAACGTAAGAGGCGAAGTCTCACCATCCTTGATTCTTTGGAACATTCTGGTTGTGCTTATTCCAAGACAGATTTATTTGTTCTTCTAGCCATCCATGGTACTTTCAATATTCTTTGCCAACACCATAGTTTAAATGAGTTAATTCGTCTATAGTCTTACTTAGTTATTGTGCAACTTTTACATGCATATGAGGCTATTGAAAATACCATGGCTTGGTTCCGGTGCCACTTTAGTCCTCAGAGTGATATCTTTGTTCTTCACTATTTTAAAGCAATCTTTGTAGCAGATTTGTCTAATACAATACTGTCATTTCATTTCTTGAATGCTGCATCCATGAGTGCTGATTGTGGATCAAGCAAAATAGTCTCTTGACAACTTCAAACTTTTCTTCACTATTATGAGGATTTTTATTTTCCTTATACTGATGTGCAATCCATGCTTAAGTCTGTAGTCTTTGATCTTCATGGATTTGTTTTAAGTCCTCTTAAAGTTGCATCATCTAAATGTCATGTATGAAATGGGGCTAGTGTGACTGAGGAACGAAATGTTTTTAGTTAACTTTAATTCATTTATATATAAATGTTCAAAAGTAACTAGTAACCTCAATGTCGAGTGAACTTGAAGGTTGGTGGTTCAAACACAGCACATGCTCCTTGGAAACCCTATACAGGGTCACTATGAATTAGAACTGACTAGACAGCAACTTAACCACCACAACAATAGAAGCAAATTACAAAATGCTAAAATTAAGTCATCACAACAGCCTTTTGTTTGGAAAACGTTACTTAACCTGTCCAAAACATTCACTGGGAGAATTAAAGACGTACATTCTTTATTTAGTTTTAGGTTTACTTACAAAGCAGACTGACTTTCTACACATGTCACTTGAAAATGACTGAATTAAAAATATTTCTCATAACACATATTTCACATAATTTTCATTGAAAATACAGTTAGAATCCATTAAGACAACTTTGGAAAACTTGCAGATTTGATCTCTAATGCTACAACTAACCTTTGAACAACACGGGGCTCCAACCCCTGTTGTTCACCTGTGTTGCAGAAAATCTGTGTGTAGCTTTTGAGTCTTTCAAAACTTAACTACTAATAATCCACTTCTGACCAAAAATCTTACCGATTAACATGTATTTTATATGGTTGGTTGGTTGGTTATGTGCCGTGGAGTTGGTTCTGACACACAGCGATGCTGTACAGGGTTTCCAAGGCTGTAAATCTTTATGGGAGCAGAAAGTCTCATCTTTCTCCTGCAGAATATATGGTAGTTTCGAACTGCTGACCTTGTGGTTCGCAGCCCGATTCGTAATTATGCTACATTAACCACTATGCTACCAGAGCTCCTTATATTTTATATATGTATTATAAATTATATTCTTACAATAAAGTAAACTAGGGAAAAGAAAACTTAAGAAAAATCACAAGCAAAATACATTTACACTACTGTACTATGTCAATACTGACAATACTCAACAGTTTGCATGATGTATCATGTTCATATTGAGTAGGCTAAGGAGGAGGAAGAAAAGGAGGGCTTGTTCTTGCTGTCTCAGTAGTGACAGAGGTATAAAAATCGAAGGAAATAGAAGGGAAAGCAGGAGAAGAAAATATGTTTGGTATAACATGAAAATACAGCATAATTTGTGACTTTTAGTTTCTTTGAAACTATTTTTATACAGTACCAATCCTTATTCCATTACTTGCTTTAGTTTCAGTGCTCATATTATAGAAGAGCCCATATTATACAAATCAAATTAAACTTGAATAATATGAACTGTTTTGCTAGACTGTCTAATGTCAATATGTTTTCTGGCACTGCTTTTACGTCTTCTTTCTCATTGTCTGGCACCAGATCATTGGGTAAGAAGCACTCATTTCCAACAAGTCACCTTCTGTTAATTCTTCTGGCATAGTGGCTATGGAATTTCTCAAAGATCCTTATCTTAAAACCATCCCTGCCCGTCACTTTTTTTCCCATAACCCCACAATCTCCTTTATGATTTCCATGATTGGCTCTGTCACATATCCAGTGAAGTTGTGCACAACATCTAGACACAATTTTCTTCTGCAGAAATTTATTGATTCAGGCTTGATGGTTTTAACAGCTTTTTCTGTAACAATAATTGCAATTTTAACAGTGTAATACATCCAGACTTTCATGATGTTCTAATGGGGTTCTCTTCTGTAACATTAAAAATCCTTTCCAAACAGTACTGTGTATAATGAATCGTTATGAACCCCCTGATCTAGATTCTAGTCTTTAAAGGTCCTTATGATCTGCTGATCCAGACTCTAAGACAGTGTGTTTGGAAACAAATAAATCACTTCAATGCCTTTGATGTCAAATTCATGGAGTTCGTTTTGGTGCTATGTACATCCTAGAGGCACTTGTGTGCCTAAGTTTTGAAAAATATCAACTGTTCATAACAGATTTGTGTATGTTTTATTGTAGTAAATGACATACTAGAAACCAAATATACAAAAGAGGCTTCAAAAATTCAAGGAACAGTAGAATTACATAATGAAACATTTCCATACTTTTTGAAATGTTGACATACCTAGCTTTCCTTAATTTTTCAAAATTTCTAGGCTACAGGGTTTATCTGCTAGATTTTTCAAATTAGTGCAAATCTCTAAATAATTTTCCAATACATTTACTGAAAAAATGTATTGAAAAAAAAAATGTATAAGTAAACACAGGCAGTTCAAACTCATGTTGCTTAAAGGTCAACTATACATACAAATATTACTAACATTTTATTTTAAAAATTTCAATACTTTAAATTTACGATCCATGGTACAACTCTAGCTTTGGTCAAAATCTTAAAGAAGAGTCATAATTAAAGATCATTATGCTCCTATGTTTTAAAATTCATGTTGTTTAATCCTGTCTGACATACTTATGACTTTTTGTTTTTCCAGGAATAATTTATGAATAGCTTGAAATGATGAGAAAGGAAGGAAGAAAATAAAACTATCAATAACCTAATTATTTCACTACAAATGTATTACCCCTAAAGCAATATGAGTCAGAATAGACTCGACAGCAACTAAAAACACAACAACAAAGCAACAATTTAGTAGAAGAACTAGAAGAACAAAGTTAACACAAAAAACAGTCATTCTTACTAAATGGTTTCAAGATTCAAAAAAGCAACATAAAGTAGCAAAATCCTAACACATTCTCAGAAAGACAAAAACTTTCCTCCCAAAAGATATTTCTGATCAGTTCTAAAGAATATAAAATATATTTGAGGGGTGATAAGCCAGTAAGAGCTTCTAAAAAGATTGACCTAAAGGAGATTCACAGCTGTTCCGCGGGAGAAAGATGAGGCTTTCTGCTCCCGTAAAGATTTACAGCCTCAGAAACCCTGTACAGAGTCGCTATGAGTCAGAACCGACTCCACGGCACATAACAACAACAACAAAGGAGAACCACAGAGGCTGAAATGTTTGTTATTTTTTAAAATATTTTTATGTGAAAATATGCATGCAAGATAAGCACCAATTCAGCAAATTCTACATGTACAATTCAGCTACACTGATTATACTCTTCAAATTATATACCCATTCTCACTATCATTTTCCAAATTATTCCACCACCATAGTATAAACTCATTGCTCCTGGAGCTTACATAGAAACTGAATCTATATTATATGAAGATGAATGGAATTTTAATTGTAAAACCCAATGAGTTAGTTAATGTAAGACCCTTAATATTATCTCTAAGAGAACTGTTAAACAAAGAAATCCACTACTTGGCAAATGTTACAAACAAATTATTAGAAAATATTTGGACAGCTATAAAAATGAAATTAAGAATATTTTTCATCATATGAAAGATACTGGTGGATATCCATTCCTTCTGTGGACTGTAATCAGAATTTTACTTCAAAGTAGAAGGAAAAATCTTACCTGTGATGATGTACTATCAGCTGCTTTCTTATTAACACAAATATCCGTTGCTTTGCTTATCTGGTTTTCTGAAGAGTCCCCCAAAAAAAAGAAAAAAAAAAAAAACTGAGCTATTTTAAAAAATACATAATGTAAAAAAGCTAGTTTGTTTTATATACAGTATGCAGGTGCTTCAAAACATCTGTGGAAATTTTCTGTATCTTTAAATTTCATTTTCCCATGAACTTTCAAAAGGCCCCTCGTAATTCATTAAATTTTCTACAGCTATTTTTGTCTGCTAATATGAAACACATATATAACTAGACACTCTCTTTGATCACCCCTTTGTCTTTCATAAAGGCAAATTTATAAGACAAATTATTTAAAACTTTACAATTCTAATTCTATCCTAAGGAACAACTCAGGGAAATAATTTAAAATATAGAAGACTTGAACCTTCTAACTAGAAGAAACAGCTATAATGTACACAGTGATTCAGAGAAAATACACATGCCTAACTGCAAAGTTGATTTGAACTACAAGGTCAGCGGTTCAAACTCACCAGCCGCTCCTCAGAAACTCCTATACTTTTTCTCTACTCATTTGTATTATTTTTATATGGAAAATATATGAAAGTTACTTCCAGAATAGCATAAAAAAATAAACCAAGCATCTTTTCTATTTCTGAGGAAAAGAAGAATATACTAAATTTTACCTAATGACTTTGGCATCTATTGAGGTCAATTTTAGCTTTTTACATCTTTGGTAATGTACTCAATTATCACCTTTTCTAATGTGGCTTTCTGGATATATCACCTTCTTTTCCAAGATGAGGCATACCTTTCATTAACAAATGTATACAATATATATAAATCAAGGGGTGTTTTTTTGTTGTTGTTTTTTTAGACAAAACTAAGTATTTATATACATATATAAATCTGTACTTTAAAACAGAATCACATAAATCGCTACCTATTAAAAGGTTATTCCAGGGTTGTTGTTGTTAAGTGCCGTAGAATTGGTTCAGACTTACAGTGACCCTGTATAGGGTTTCCAAAGAGTAGCTGGTGAGTTTGAACTGCTAACCTTGAGGTTCAAACTAACACACTAGGACTCCTATTCCGGGGGTGGGGAAATAAAGACTTTTCCCTTCCTAGAAGAACAACTTAATATATTATTTAGTGTTTTTTTAAAAAGCATTAAATTATTGATTTTTTTACATTTAGCACCTGTTCTGGAATATAAAATCCCCCAAGGACTAGTTTAACTCTACATTGACTGACTGACCCAACATGTAATAGTAAGGCACACAGATGACATTACAGGAGTGCCAATTAAGATTATCCCTTAATTGGTACTAGATAATTATTTTATGAGTACAAATGGAAGGTAAAATCTTCACTTGAAGAAACTCAAATAGAATTATGAAGGAGCAGTATCTTTTTTAAAACTATATATTTTTTATACTCTTAGAATTAAAGATGCTTAGTAAAAGCTGAGAGGGGATATTGATAATAAATCTTTTCTTTCTTAGTAAATGGCACTAACATTTAACAAGGTCTTAGAAATCTGAGTCATTTCTAATTTCTCCATTTCCCTTATCCACTTAACCTTTTATCAACAAATTACAAGTACTGTCAACTATGAAAAAACTGATACATAAAAACTATTTTCAAATAATTAAATGAACATGGAAACAGACTGACATTTGACTAATTTTTTTAAAGTGCATTAAGCTAGATAAAACAAGGAAGACCATACCCTTTCTCAACTATCATATGCTCATAAAAATTTTAAGAAAATGCAATAGTTTCATTAAACTGCAATTCAGATCTTTGTAGAAGAGTATCCATGGTACTAAATTCCATAGAATTAAACAACAACCCAAACCCTACTAATATACTTACTTCTCAGCAAGAAAATTTTTATAATTAGAAATACATCTCATCTGGGAACCAACCATGAATAATTACTTTACCTCAAAATTTCATGAATAAAAACACAACATAAAACAATACTCATACTACATCATCTTCTGTTCTGACATACAAAACAATCTTGCTTGTCCACTAACTTTGATCAAAAGTAAGTATATTTTAATATCACAAACATGAATAATGATGTCTAAGGAATAATGTGGTGGCACACAATGCCAAGAAATACTGTTCCTTTACTATGTCACACTTTTAAATAACAAGCATTTTTTATAACAAAATTTCACCCTTATATTTTAGATGTTCACATTCTGAGGGTCGGATTCCACATCTGCCCAATATTAAATTTTGACCTGCATCAGACTGGCTCCAACAACTATGAAATACTATGATTTTACAATAAAATAAAATTTTGAGGGCAAATGCAGTAACGGACATATGACAAGGTTTGGATATCTCACTTATAAACAGCAGTTCTGTACTCTTTCTTAAATTTCATAGTCACTATTATCAGTAAGAGGAATCCTGGGTACTTAAATCAGCTAGACATAATCAAAGAATTTCTATTTATACTGTTCTCCACATAAGGAGTTCTGGTAGCGTAGTGGTTACAAATCAGGCTGCAAACCGCAAGGTCAGCAGTTTGAAACTACCAGCTGCTCCGCGAGAGAAAGATGAGGCTTTCCTGCTCCCGTAAAGATTTACAGCCTCGGAAACCCTGTACAGGGTCGCTATGAGTTGGAACCGACTTCACAGCACACAGCCACCACCACCATATGACACTAGGGAATTCAAAAAAGAAAATCATCCAAAGGCTATTAATTTGCTTGCATTAACTAATATTAAACACACATACTACTTACCAATTCTTGGGGTAGTAGTGCTACTCTGTTCTGCAGGAGATGAAGTACTAAAAGCAGAAATTGGAATTTTCATCTGTATAGGACCTCGATTACTTGATGGACTATAGAGTCCTGATGGGCCTACTGTGGGTAGAGAAGTCCTTGTAGCTTGTACAATAGAGTGTGCTGTTGGAACAGCTTGTACAGCAAGTGTTGTTCCTAATGGTGCAGCATTGGCAGAAGAGTTCCTCTGAATACTAGAACTGGGCACTGATGGAACGTTGTTTGGTTTAGTGGGGTTTGGCAAGGATGGCAATGATACTGGATTTTTGGTAAGACTATTCACTGTTGGTGGGCTTTGCACAGAAATAAATTCAACGTTGCCAGAAGGTTGATTAGTCACTAAAGTCCCTGGATGGCTCTGTAGGAGCTGAGGCTGTGATGATACAGCAACAGGTACATGTAAAATCACTGGTAAAGGTTGTAAAGAGATTGTAGGCTGGGGATTTCCACTAGGCACCTGAGTAGTAGCAACTACTGTAGCAGTGTTGGGTGCAGGAAGAACTGATGTTGCTGTCAGAGAACCCGAGGTTGCTGGAGTCTGAAGTTTAGGTTGACTACTGACAACTGTCGGAGGAGTGATAAGGTTGGCTGAAGATACTATAAAAAAGAAAAGAAAGTCTCAGTTTAAGTGACTAACTCCATATATGTTAGGAGAATATATCACATATAAATTCAACATATTATAGCAAATACAATAAAATCTTTTATAACAAAATTATTTCCAGATTCTAATTATTAAAAGTCTTAGAATTAAATTCTTAGAAGCATTTTTGTTGTCTGATACAATATGGAAGTAACACATGATTTATGATTAATATGGCTGACTGCTATCTCACTACTAAAACAGTATCTAAAATTACTATAATCACATTAGAGCAAATAAATGCAAAAATATCTAAAAAAAACATAAATATCTACCAAATAAGTGGTTACAAATTAGGTTGCTAATCTCATGGTCAGCAGTTCGAAACTACCAGCTGTTTCATGGAAGAAAGATGAGGCTTTCTGCTCCTGTAAAGAGTTACAGCCACGGAAACCCCGTACAGGGTCGCTGAGTCAGAACTGACTCCATGGCACATAACAACAGCATATGTATATATGTATATATATAAAATTCAAATCACTCCAAACACAAAAATTCCTTAAAAAACCTGCAGTATGTAAGCTACACAGTAAATCTATAAAAATATAATGAGCAATAGGTTAGTGGTTATGAATCGGGCTGTGAACCACAAGGTCAACAATTCTAAACTACCAGCTGCTCTGTGGGAGAAGATGAGGCTTTCTGCTCCCGTAAAGATTTACAGCCTCGGAAACCCTGTTCAGAGTCGGAGCCGACTCGACGGCACTTAACAACAACAACAAATAGATAACCTTGGTCATTATATTTTATCATTGTTATTATTAAGTGCCTTCGCATTCTGTGGCTCATAGGTCCTAATGATTTTGTTATTGTTGCTAAGTGTCATTGAATCAGTTCCAACTCATAGTGACCCTGGGTAGGGTTTCTGAGGAGCAGCTGTTGAATTTGAATCACCAACCTTGTGGTTCAAGTCGAACTTACGGTCTAGTGCTTCTCCTACAGTGCTATACCAGGACTCCCAAGAGAAAAACCCATTGCCATTGAGTTGATTGCAACTCAGAGTGATTACATAGGACCAGAGATTCTGAGGCTGTTAAGTCTTTATGGAAATGGACTGCCTCATCTTTCTTCTGCAGAGCAGCTGCTGAGTTTGAACTGCAGACCTTTTGGTTAGCAGTTCAATGCTTAATATACTAGGCCATCAGAGTTCCTTCTAATAAGGAAAGGTTCCCTTTATTGATACTAAATGACAGACAAAAAAGCACTTAGTAAAGATGGGTAAAGGAGCTTTAGTACCGTAGCGGTTACAAGTCGGGCTGCTAACCTCAAAGTCAGCAGTTCGAAACTACCAGCCGTTCCATGGGAGAAAGATGAGGCTTTCTGCTTGTGTAAAGATTTATAGCCTCAGAAAACCTATGCAGGGTCACTGTGAGTGGGAAATCAACGCCACCACACATAACCACCACCAGCACCACCAAAGATGGGTAATGAATCAAGCAACAAGGGAACATACAAAGAGAGGAGAGAAAAGCAAAAGGCTTTGCACTTTTAACTACTTGTGTTAACTACTTGTGTTAATTTCATTTGAGCAGGCTTATAATGTTGGTAAGTGCTGTCAACTCAGTTTGGACTCATACTGACCCTATATAGGATTTCCAAGCAGCTGGTGGGTTTGAACTGCTGACCTTGTGGTTCACAGTCTAGTGCTCCACACCAGTTCACGTGCCAGGAGTCCAGGTTTATAATAGACGACTTCATTTGATTTCTTATCACTCAAAAGTCATAAACATACAAGAGCAGAATTCTCAAAGTGTGGTCCAGGTGCATTTCTGGGGTTCCTAAAACACTTTCAGGGAGTCTGTAATCTACATTTTTCTTCAAGAAATTTAAATTTGATGTTTTCATTGTATGAACATGTACAATGATGAGTAAAATTTCTGGTACCTTAGTGAAAAATCAAGGTATTGGTACTACACTATCACTATAACTCTTTATATCATATATTCACAGTAAAAAAGAACAGCAATGTAGCATCTTAAATAAATACAAAGTAGGACACCTTGATGAACAACAAAAACTAATTTTATTAAATCCCAACCCTTGAGCACAGGTATTGTTAACATTCTATTTGAAGTAACAAGGAACTATATGTGCACTACTGCTGCATGCCAAAACCTTAGTATAGTTGGCGCAAGTAAAAGTGCTTATAGAATGTCTAAGTTATACACTGAACCAAAAGCATTTTTCATGGAACAGCATCTTTATTTGAAAAACTTCTAAACATATATGTGCTGTTGCTGTTGTCAAGAGCTGTGGAGTTGGTGGTTCTAACTCACAGTGACTCTAGATAGGGTTTTTGAGGAGTGGCTTGTGAGCTTGAACCACTGACTGTGCAGTTCATACCAACCTTGCAGTCCAGTGCATTAACCCACAGTACCATACCAGCACTCCTAAAAGGTTTTTCAAGGACAACTGACAATAAAATTAACAATTGTGACTTGTTCTGTATTTATTAATGAAATGTGTCAACATGAGGAAGACTTGTATAACTGAACTAACATTTTCCAAATGTTCAATATTAGCAATATTCATCCAAAATGTAACACTCTTTACTGATTCTTTGTTTTGGAAAACGGTTAATTTCCATGAAAAATGTTATTTTTATATATTATGGGTTTATTGGCAACATTTTCAAATTGATAAATATTCTTTAAATTTATGAGTTCTAATTTTGGAAACAACTTGACAGTACTTAACAACAACAATTTCTACTAAGAGTAAATTTTACTTTGGTATTCTTGGATAGCACACACAGTTAAGTTTGTCACTACTGAAAGAAACTGGTGGTTTACAAGAAGGCCTGGCCATATTCTGAAAGGTCACAGCCTTAAAAACCTTATGAAATTCAGTTCATCTGTAACACATGGGACTGTCATGAGCCTAAATCAAATATATGATATTCTTAATTGTGATCCTGAATTCAAAACTTTGTAATCAGTATTCTATTTTGGACAAATGTGCCAAGTTTTTAATTTATTTCAAACTAGAACAAATATTAAAAAAGAACATTAGAAAAACAATCAATGTAATCCACCATATAAATAAAAAGGAAAAGAAACACATGATTATATTGATGGATGAAGAAAAGACATTTGAAAAAATCCAACATCCATTCCTGATAAAAACACTCAATAAAGTAGGAATTGAAGGGAAATTCCTCAACATAATCAAGAGCATATATACAAAACCAACAGCCTACATTACTCTCAATGAGAGAAACTGAAAGCCTTCCCTCTGTGAACAGGAACCAGACAAGGATGTCCTTTGTCACCACTCCTATTCAATATTGGGCTGAAAGTCTTAGCCAGAAGTGTACAGCAAGACAGGGAAATTAAAGACATCCAAATTGGCAAAGAGGAAGTAAAACTCTATTTGCAGACAACACGATCCTATATATAGAAAACCCCAAAGACTCAGTAAAAACGCTACTAGACCCTCATTGGAAGACTCAGCAAAGTGAAAGGACATAAGATTCAACGTACAAAAATCAGTGGGATTCCGCTATACCAATAACGACAGCACTGAAAAGAACATTAGGAAAGCAATACTATTTACATAAAAGAACTAAAAATTTCAATTCCTAAGAAAATATATTCTGATATTAAGAGCATGTTACCTGTATTCACAGGGCTTTGAAAGGAAGGCGGGGCACTCTCACTTATATTTCTTTTGGATTCCAGCATTTGTCGCACTGTACCTGCATTTCTATGAAATAAATATTCACACAAATTGTCAATGAAGATGCCATTGGAGGACACCAATTTATGTAGAGGCATACCTCAGTGATACTGAGGCTCAGTTCCAGACCACTGCATACAGCAAATATCATAATAAATTAAGTCGCATGGATTTTTTGGTTTTCTAGAGCACAAAAATGTTATGATTAAAGGAAGTCATGGCATGGTGCTGTAGGATAAAGACTGGATTCCTAACCAAAAAAATCGGTGGTTCAAACCCACAACCACCCCTGGAAACACTATACAGAGTTGCTATGAGTCAGAACCAACTTGACAACACTTAACAATATACTGTACTCTGTTAAGCATGCAAATTATTAAAAAGTTTAAAATATTGTGAGAATTACCAATATGAGATGAGACACAAAATGAGGACATGCTGTTAGAAACATGGCATGGATAGACCTATTCAATGCAGGGTGGTCACTTTGTAAATAGTAAATAGCTGCAAAATACATACAGTGAAACACAATAAAATGAAGCATGCCTATACAGAGAAAGCAGTGGCTCTTGGGAAAGTGCGGCTAGGCTGAGTATTTTGCCACACTGAACTACAAATGAATGCACTGAGGACATAGCTGGCACAAAGCAGCCCGGGGGCCTATGGCATTAGAGAAGAATTTTCCTTTATTTTATAGTCTAATGTCCTCAATATTTTCCCTATATGATCAAATGTAGATTCCAACATTTACAAACAGAAATCTTCCTCATCCCATTTCTGAATTTCTTGAGAGAATATTAATTTAAAATAGTTTTAAAAATCTGATTGAACAAAGAAAGTCTTATAATTTACAAAAAGGAACAAAACAAAAGAAAATATGATATAACACAGTATTACTATTAAGTGCTGTCAAATAGATTCCGACTCACAGTGATCCTATATATGGGTTTCTAAGGAGTGGCTGGTGGATATGAACCACCAACCTTGTTGTTATCAGTCTAACACCTATAAATATGTATAAATACATAGGACTACATTCTAAGATTTTTCTGTAAACTAAAATAAAAACTTTATTCTGTTATTTCTAACTTTGGACAGACTATTTGCAATACTCACCTGTATGGAACATTATTATTACTGTTAATATCATTTGTAGGCTTTCCTGGTGATGCGGGTGGATTTGGTGGATTCTGGAGGAAAAAAAAAAAAAAATCAAGGTAAGTATAAAGCATAACCAATACACAGGAAACTTTAAAAATAAGAACATTAAGGCTTTGTCAAAATATAATCTTTATTACTCTAAATATGGTACAAAAAATACTAATTAGAGTTAAGAGAAGAATTTTCATCTTATTATTGTCACTTGATAATTGTAGCATACTAAGTAAATCAATCTACTTAGGATGACTGCTAAAATTTGAAAGGTAGATATCAACAATATTAATCTAAAGAATAACTGGATTCATTGATTTAATAAATATCTAATGTATTCCTACAATAAACTAGACATTGTTGTTCTAGGCTGTTGAGTTGATTCCTACTCATAGCAACCCTGTATGACATAGCAGGATATAGGATATCCTAGGCTGTAATACTTAAATAAGCACATCACTGGTGTGTTATCCATTGAGCAACTGCTGAGTTCAAACCACTATACCACCAGGGCTTGTTACACACACATAAATCTATCCAAGGGGTTTCCAAGGCTGCAAATCCTTATGGGAGCAGAAACCTGCTCATCTTTCTCCCATGGAGCTAATGGGTTTCAACTGTTAACCTTGCAGCTAGCAGTCCAGTGCTTATCCTACAGCATCACCAGGATTCCTTTTATAGTAAGCATGTTATTAAATGCTGTTGAGTAGGTTCTGACCCATATTGACCCCGTAAGGAGTAGCTGGATGGTTTGAATTGCCGACCTTGTGGTTAGTAGCCCAATACTTATTCTACAGAGCCACACTAGGATTTCATAGCAGGCACAGCATATATAATATTGACACTAAGAATGAATACACAAGATAGGTATTTATTCCTTGAGACCCATTCCACCAGCATTTAATATAAGCAGTATCGTAAGTCACAAACAAGATTCTCAAATTAAAATTATTTTAAGATTTTTTTGCCTTAGAAAAGCTCCTACTCTTTGGTCAGCTGAGGTACATCAGAGTATGGGGGAACCTAGCAGCACCAACCCTGGCACCTGAAATCAGGCATGGCTTACTCCAGACCTGCAGAACTGGATCTGGCAAGCCCTGGACTAGCAGAACCTCTCATCCTTGGCTGTCATTTGGAATGGAAATGCCCTGACCCCCCAACTATTTTGGAGTCTACATGAACTACTTCAGGATTGGATGCCAGAACAGACATCACCTAGATTACAGAGAGCTGTCTTCTCATCCCTTGCACACCTACAATCTTGGGAGGAAGAAGACCCCAGAAGCTCCTCCCTGTGTCTGGAACCTAGTTATTTCTTCTCATTGTTTTTGGTTGTTTGTTCTTTCTTCCTCTTATATTCTTCTCTCTTACTTTTTATCCTTTCAATTTTGACTTTCATTTTTTCTGCTTCTTTCCCAACGGATGTTTCTTATTTTTTTTATCCTCTTTGTTTTTCTTTACTATTCTCTGTTCTCTTTCCCTTTTACATATTACTCTCCCTGTGTTTACTTTTTATTAATTTTCTATTGTGAAGTGAGTAAAGGTTTATAGCACAGATCATCAGTCCCATATTTAACAAATAATGAATTCATGTCATTACAATGAGTGCAATCGATTCTATGTACCATCAGTTAGCAGTATTCACTTCATTTTCCCTTTCCCCACACTCCATCAATTCTGTAACCATCAGAATGTTTCATTTATCAAGAAAATCTTTTAACTTGTTTACAACAGTGTTCTCCACGCAGTATTTGTCCTTTATATGTACTAACTGGTAGTTCTGATGCAGCACTGTGGGCTAATGCACTGAACTGCAAGGTTGATTTGAACCACAAGGTCAGCAGTTCAAACTCACCAGTCGCTCCTTGGAAACCCTGTACAAGATCGCTATGAGTCGGAATCAACAACTGCACATTAACAACAACAACACAGTGTCCGCCAGGTTCATCAATGTTGTTGTGAGGTGCTTTGAAGATTTTTTGTCACTCTTCAATGTTGCATAATATTCCATTGCATGAAAGTATGCAAGTTTGTCTATACATTCTTCTGTTGATGGGCATTTAGGCTGCCGACATCTTTTTGCTATTATGAAAAGTGTTGCAATGTGTACAAATCTAATCATGGCATAGTTCTTACTTCTTTAGGATATAAACCAAGCAAAAGGATTGCTAGGTCATACAAGTAGTTTAATTTCCACCTTTTAAAGAAATCACCAGACTGTTTTTCACAGTGGTTGCACCATTTTACAGTCCCACCTCAATTGTAGGAGAGTGCCTGTCTCTTCACACTTCTTGCCAACATTTGTTGCTTTCTGTTTTTTTTGGAACTTTGCTATAAATGCTGGAGTGAGATGATATTTCATTGTTGTTTTGAGTTGTATCTCTCTAACAGACTACTGAGGTGTGGTGTTGTAGGATCAGCACTGGACTTTGAACCAAAGGTTGGCAGTTCAAACTCATCAGCTACTCCTCAGAAACCCTATACAGTGTTGCTATGAGTCAGAATGGCACTTAACAACAACAATGGCTAATGATCATGAGCATTTCTTCATTTCTGTTGGCCACCTGAATGTCTTCTTTGGTGAAGTGTCTGTTCATGTCCTCTGCCCATATTTAAATTGGATTATTTGTCTTCTTCTTTTGAGGTCTTGAAATGTTTTATGTTTTTGGAGTAGTACTTCATCTGACATGTCCTTGCCAAACATTTTTTTCCCTTAGTCTATGGGTTCTCGTTTTACTCTTCTAGTGAAATCTTTTGATAAATATGTGTCTAATTTTCAGGGGCTCCCAGTCATCTATTCGTCTTCTGTTTGTGTGTTTTCAATTACAGTTTTTCTGTTCCTTTTTTTTTTCAATTTATGTTTGACAGTGTATTTATGCCATGTATATGAGCTTCTAAGTTTGTACCTATTTTTTCATATGTGGTCTAGATAGTATATAGTTCTAAGTTTTAAATTTAGGTCTTTAATCCTCGCTGAGTTCATTTTTTTATATAGTGTGGCATATGGATCTTGTTTCCGTTTTCTGCATATGGATTTCCAATTTTGCCACTGATAGAAGAGATTACCTCTTCCCCATTTAGTGCATTTTGGTCCTTTCTAGAAGATTAACTTACCATAGCTGGATGCCCACCCATCAGGCAACAGCCAGTACCAGCTGCTATATTCGAGACCAATTATAACAACCAACATCAAACATGTCCATCATAAACCGAACTGAATCAACAGCCAACAGAGAATGGTGTACAAGCTCATGCCCTAAGTGAGGCAGCTGGTGAGTGCCTAAGAACACACCAATATACATTCGCTAACAATACAAATATAACACCAACTCAATGTCTTGAAAGCAGCAGACAATTTATGTTCATATGAGGAAAGAAGACAGAGTGGCTCAAACAAATGACCAAGAGGCAGAGCTAGGAAATGTTCCTAGAGAAAAATGGACATTGGAATTACCTGAAAAAGAATTCAAAGTACTATATTTGAGTACCTCCAAATGAGGGGGGGAAATGCAAGACTTCAGGAAAACACTAAAGGAAGAATCAAACGAAAAAGATAAAGGATTGGAGATAATACAAAACCTGCAAATAGAAATGCAGAAGATTAACACTAAGCTTTCAGAAATGGTCAATACATTGAAAGAGAAAAGGAGTAGGAATAAATCAATGGAAGCTCAAATTAATGAACTTGAAGATGCATCTCGCAATACCAGTAAGCTAGAACAATCAGAGAAAAGGATGAAAAAAATCTGAAGGAAGTCTAAGAATCCTGTGGGACAACATTAAGAGGAGTAACTTGAGGGAGAGACAAAGAAAAGCACAGAAAAGACAGTTGATCTATTTAATGGAAGAAAATTTCCCTAGTATCATGAAACACAAGAAGATAAAGACATTCAAGAAGAATGAACCCTTAACAGAATACACTCCAAAAGAAGGTTAAGAAGACATCAAAGTCAAACTCTGCAAAATCAAAGGAAAGGAAGAATCATGAGAGCAGCTTAGGAAAAACGAAAAGTCACCTATACAAAGGAGACTCAATAAGCTTAAGCTCTGATTTCTCAGCAAAAACCATACACATGCTGGCAAAAAGAGAATGGGAAACATATACAAAATTCTCAAAGAAAAAAAAATGCAACCAAGAATCATATATCCAACAAAACTGTCCCTCAAAGTGAGAGAGAAATTAGAACATTTCCAGATAAACACTAATCACAGCAATTTTTAATAATCTGGTCAACTTCACAAAACATACTAGTCTTTGAAATTGAAAACCAACAACAGCAGACAACAACCTAATGTTGCCATACACAGCAACACCACCCAGAATTCAATCCAGATACAGAAGGATCCAAAGTAAAATATAAATCTACAAGACTGAAAACAGGGAATCAGAGATAGCAATTTGTAGTGAAGACAACTACAAAACAAAAAGAGGAAAAAGTACAGTTACAAAACGTCCCAAAGGTGAGGAAACTATATAAAACACTGTTTAAAATTGGGGAAGAAACTAATAAATAATAAGGTATCCTGTAAGAAAATTAATGGACCTTCAGCGTCAAATCCAGAAAAGCAAAAATCACCAAGATTTAGTAAATATTAAAACAATGTTGTTGTTAAGTGCCATCGAATGGATTCCAACCTATAGCAACCCTGTATAAGGTTTCTGAGGAGCAACTGGTGAGCTTGAACTGCCAATCTTGTTCAAATAGCTTTGCAGTCTGGCACATTAACCCACAGTGACACACCAAACAACAGTAAAGAGTAAACTGACAGGAAAAAATGCACAAACAAAATTGTCTCAGCACAGAAAATTATATGAAATAAGAAAACCAGTAGCATCACCACAAAGCATACAGCAAAGTGACTGCAATCCATTTATACCTTTCAATAATGATAATAAATGCCAATGGATTAAATGCACCATTAAAGAGACAGAGTAGCAGAATGAACAAGAAAATACGATCCTTCAATATACTGTCTACAGGAGACACACCTTACATATAAGGACAAAAATAGATTAAAAATTAAAGTTTGGATAAAAAATTTATCATCCTAATGGCAGTCAAAATTAAGCATTAATCTCTGATAAAATAAACATCAAGGAATTAAAAAAAAAAAAAAAAACCAGGACATTATTTCATGATTAAAGGGACACTTGAAAAAGAGAGCATAACTATAATAAAATATTGATGCTCCCAATGAAATAGACTCAAAACACATAAATCAAACTCTAATAGACTTGAAGAAAGAAACAGACAACTTTTATAGTTGGTGGTTATTGATTAGAGCTGTTGAGTCTGCGCTTACAGTGACAATGTATAGAGTTTTTGAGAAGTGGCTGTTGGATTTGAACCACCAACCTTGCAGTTCAAAATGCCCTTGTGGTCCAGTGATTATCCTAGAGTGAAATGCCAGGATTTTACCAAAACAGTAGGAAATTTTAATATAACACTTATGATGGACAGAACAAACAGAAAGAAACTCAATGAAGACACAGAAGAATTAAATAATACATCAATAAACTTGACCTTATAGATTTATACAGAGCACTCAACCCAACAACAGCACAATACACATTCTTTTCTAGTGCACAAGGAAAACACTACACAACAGACCATATATTAGGCTACAAAACAAGCCTCAATAAAATTTAAAATACTGAAATATTATAATGCAGTTTTTCAGACCATAATGTTATAAAACTGGAAACCAGCAAGAGGAAGATCAAGGAAACAAAATCAACTGAGAAAGAAAATAACATACTAAAACCTTTGGGAAACAATAAAAGCAGGGATCAAAGGGCAACTTTTAGCAATAAATGCACACATCCAAAAAACAGAAAAAAATATCTAAATTAACACACTAAGGCAACTAATGAGCTCTGGTAGCGTAGTGGTTACGAATCGGGCTGCGAACCTTAAGGTCAGTGGTTCGAAACTACCAGCCGCTCCGCGGGAGAAAGATGAGGCTTTCTACTCCCATAAGGATTTACACCCTCGGAAACCCTGTACAGGGTCGCTATGGGTCGGCTCCGACTCGAAGGCACTTAACAACAACAACAACAAGGCAACTATTCCAACAATTAAAATAGACAAGAAAACTTACAATTAAAAAAAAAAGGAATAAAGATTAGAGCAAAAATAAATTAGAAATCTGAAAAACAACAGAGTGAATCAACAAGAACTACCTAAATTCATAAAACTGACAAAAACTGTTGCAAATCTAACAAAAGAAGATGCAAATAACACGCATAAGCAATGTTATCAAGTGACACCAATGGAAATAAAAAGGATGTTAACAGAATACTATGAAGAACTGTATTCTAACATAAGAAACAGATAAATTTTTAGAAAAACATGACTTGAAGTAGGAAACTTGAATAGATCTATGACAAAATGAGAAACTGATCAAGTCATTAAAATAACTCCTAACAAAAGTCCAGTCCAGATGGTTTTACTGTTGAGTTCTACCAAACATTCAGACTGGTTTACACCAATTCCACTCAAACTATTCCAGAACATAGAAACGGGTTGAAAGTGAGCCTAATTCTCATACCAGGAAAACGTATCACTAAAAAAGAAAATTATAGACCAATATCCCTCTTGAACATAGATGCAAAAAATCTTAACAAAATCCTACCAACAGAATTCAAATATATCATGAGCAAGTGAAAATCATACCAGGTGTGCAAGGATGGTTCAATACTAGAAAACAGTGCTTATGAAGGAAAAAAGGTAGACACCTCTCACTCCCTAATCTCAAAACCTACTACACAGCCACAGTTGTCAAACAGTGTGGTACCAGTACAGTGAGAGATACATAGATCAATGGAACAGAATTGAGAACCCAGAAGTAAATCCATCCACGGACAGTCAGCTGATCTGGGGCCAAAATACATTAAAAGGGAAGAGACAGTCTCAACAAATGGTACCGGCAAAACTGGAAATTCATTAGCAGAAAAACTACATAAGACCATTATTTCACATCATATACAAAACCAAACTCAACATGGATTAATGACCTAACTGTAAAACCTCTAAAGATCATCAATGGAAAAATTAGGACAACTTAGGGGTTCTCACAAATGGCATAAATACACTGCCAAATATAATTTTAAAAAGCACTGACAAAAGAAGACAAAATAGATGAACACAAGATTTTAGCAAAAGAGTAAAAACACAGCCCACACACTGGGTAAAAAATGCTGTGCAATAACATACCAGATAAGGGACTAATCTGTTCATGATCATCAGTCATTAGAGAGATGCAAATCAAAGCAAGATTATCTCAAACCACCATTAATAACAAAGTTCAAAAAGCCTCAAGTCCATAAAAAGACCAGACTTAAATTGGTGGAACCCCCGAGACTATGGCCCTTAGTCACCCATCAGGTCTGGAAGTGGATGCACACCTATAACTCAATTTTCAGCTAGGCAAAAGACAGGCCTGTAATGTAAATAGTAACACCAAGGAGGTATGTACTCCTTAGAAAAATTAACCATCTGAGATCAAAAGGGCAACGTTTACCTAAGGACAAAGTTCAGAAGGGTTAGGAAAAAACATGTAATAGAACAGAAAATGTAGGAGAAAGTGCAGTTAGTGATGTCACACTGTAGAAATTACAATCAATGACATGAAACAAAGTAAGTAAGAATTACTGAATGAAAAATTGATTTGCTGTCTAAGCCTTCACCCAAATCACAATAGAAGTCTAAAAACAATAGCAAACAAAAAGATATTGAAATGGCAAAAACAAATAAAACAAAATTTTAATGTTCTAAGACAAGCCTAAATAGTGAGGTTTGCCTTTAACTGGTTAATATTAGAGGGCAAATGAATAAATCTAAATAGGCTAAATGCACTTAAAAGTTTTATTCTTTATTTTGATAACTGAAGAGCTAAAGTGCTAACTGTTTTCTTTACTAGTAAGAAACTGCCGTAAAATAATGGATACTGTAACTACAAAGAAAGAAAACAGTTCAAAGTAGTTGAGAATAAAGCAACATATACCTAAACCGTAGACCATGAAGCAATGTATTAAATGACAATTAAAATGGTTATAAAACGATCTTTAAAAAGTTGGGAAAAACAAAATAAAAAGATAATTGAACATTTCTAAGAACTTTTTAAAGTGTCCTCATATATAATCAAAAACAGTAAAGAAATATATTATGGATATAAGTAACTTTTGATAATAATTAAGAATTGTAATAACAAATTCTGGAAATTATAGAAATCAAAACTATCTGGAAAGAAGAAAAATATTAACAAGAACAGGCAGAAAGATGTCCATGTTTAGCATTTGAAATTGATGTTGCCCATAACAAGTTAATAAAAACAGCAAAATTTGAAAACTTAAAGACCACCAAAACATTTCAACACTTTACCCCTATAATTACTAATTTCTATTATTTTTAGAAATTGCTTATTATTTGTTCCTTGTGTAGCTTCTAAAACAGAAACACTTCAGCATCTACAGTATTTTTACCTTTATTCTTTACAGCCTTTATGTCTCTCCTTTAAATAAACAAGAACTGGAAATTAGATTTTTGCACAAAACTTGCAAAAGTTCATGGTAGGAAGTATGCTAATTATAATTCGTTCAGCCACAGGAATGAAGAGAAACATATGAAAATTCATATTGTACAAAAGAATGGAAATTAGCAGTTGACAAGGGATAGGGAGTATGAAAGGTTATGTTGAAATTCATTATAAAGGGTGAAAGTGTCTTTTATGGTGGCAGGACAGTTACCCTGACTCTGGTGGCGATTTTTATAAATTTATTAATGGTATCTTTCCTGCTCCCTCACTCCAATGCAATGAATTCACGAGGGAAACAGGAAATTTCCAAAAATCAAAACGATCTGAACAAGATAAAAATATTAACAAGCACAGGTAAAAAGATGTCCATGTTTTTGCATTTAAAATTGACTTTACCTGCAAGTTAATAAAAGGAACAAAATTTGAAAGGTTCGAGACCACCATAACATTTCAACACTGACCCTGTAATTAGTTAACAGAATCATTGTAGTTGTTAAGTGCTGGCAAGTTGGTTCTGACTCATAGCGACCTGTCTAGGGTTTCTCAGGGGCTCGTGAATTTAAGGACCAACCTGAGGTTCAGTGCTTTATCTTAAAGCGCAACACCAGGATTCCAAAGAGAATCATATAACAATGCTAAATTCTTGATTTTGATATTGTATTATACTTATTGTTGTTGTTATGTGCCGTAGAGTTGGTTCCGACCCATAGTGACCCTGCAAAGGGTTTCCAAGAAGCAACTGGTAAGCTTGAACCACCAACCTTGCAGTTAAAAGAGCTTTGAAGTCTGGTGCATTAACCTACAACACCACACCAAAATGGCAATTGGGGAAATAATTTGTGAGACTCAAACCTACCAGTTGCTCCTTGGAAACACTATACTTATAGCATAAGCAGAAGACTGACAAGTCTACTAGAGGCAGCAGAAAATTAAGACTCTAAGAGGATAAACAATGGACTGCTAACCACAGGCTGGTGGTTCAAATCCACCAGTCGATCCTTGCAAACCCTATACAGGATTCACTATGAGTCAGAACTGACATGATGTCATTTAACAAGAAAAATGATAGATTAAACTAGGGCACTGGCAAGACTGTAGAACGAAAGCAAGATGGTAAGACAAATTCCAAAAATGTAATTTTGAAGATGGAAAAAATAAGTCCTCAACAATATAGCATTCTAAGACAGGTTAATATAGTGCTGATTTAGGAGAATAATGATAATTAGGAAACAATTGGGTTAATCAATTCTAGAGCTACAGCTCCTGAAACAACATACAGGAGGTTACAGAATGAAAGCAAAACTTCAAACCTGTAATAAAGTGTTTCCTCAAAATCCAGCATTTCCTACAATTACCAATTTGAACAAAATATTAATTATGCACAAATAAAAATTCTTACTTCTTGTCTTTTCTTAAGATCTTCTTTAGCTGCTCCAAACCGTTTGGTTAGCCTGGCAATCTTGGCCTTAAAAAAATAAGACAGAAATCAAATGACATATTCAGTATTATGTAACTAGAAAACCACACATAACAGTATCCTTTGATCATAACAATATTAAGGCAAGTTGATTTAAAAATATGCAGTAAAACTTGTGAGCTTAGACTCAACGGGTCACGCAAGTTTTCTGCCTTTGATAACATGCATTCTTACCACTTTTCTGCTATACGGGTTCCAGCTTTCACAAGTTTTGCTGCACACTCATTCCTCACTTACCGACATGGTTAAGTTTCAAAGACCAGGTCAATATACAAAAACAGTGTTATATGAAAATGGAAGATAACTATATTACTACCAAATTACTTCATTATATACCTATTAAACAACTGACACTCATAGCCCAGCCAAGTTGAAACCTGACCTTAACAATCATAGCCACTATTAACTTTTTCCTCGCATCTAAAGGTTTGCTATTATTGCGAGACATATGTTGTTAATGTGGAAAAATACAAGATAGTCCTTTTTCCTATTTCCGTAAATGTGAAACGTCAGGTTAACAAGATAGTCAATAAATAAAGCTGTTATTGTTACGTGTCAATTCCAACCAATAGCAACCCTGTATATATACAGGGTTTCTGAGGAGCAGCTGGTGAGGCTGAACCACCGACTTTGTAGTTAAATGGCTTTGCAGTCTGGCACATTAACCCACAGTGTCATACCAGGACTCCAATAAATGAAGAGTAGGTGTATACATTTGTAAAATAGAGAATCATAATAAAAACAAAATGACCCCTGGTCCCAATACCTTGATGTAAACACTACTAATTAAAAGGTTAGCATTTGCTCCTAGAACTGGTGTGTTTGCTCACATACCAGTATATTTCTAATACATACGCTTAAGTTTTATGTTAATTTTAATCATAATTGTAATGAAAAATTTTCTCACTGAGATTTATAATAAGCATATCTATAGGTAAAAAAAAAACCCTCTTCAACACTATTTATGTTTATATATGTTATCCTGAGCCACTATTTACACACTTTCCTGTCTACTACAAAGGTAGAATGATTTTCAATGTCCTGCTAGTATGAAACAATACTGCATGAATTTTTATTCTTCTTTCAAGTAATGTCATAAAGCTACATTTACAGAAGTGGAATGCCTAGGATAAAGGCTCTTGCCTCAATGCTTTTCCGGAAAACTTTGTCAAATTGACACTTTCAATAACAGTGTAAATAAGTAGTGGTAACATTAATCTTTCAAATATTTCATTTTATATTCTGTCAACCATTAGCAATATGATAAAAATGTTAATAGCGTAAACATTTGTTAGTAAAATTTAGTATATTTTCACTAACTATACCAATTACTTGTACAGCTTATACAAACAGCCTACTCATGTCTATTGCTTAAACACACATTCAAAGAATATTTGAGGAGTGAGGAACAAAAGGCAGGGTAAAGAAAAAGGGAGGGGATGAAATAAAAATTATACCAATACATGAATATTTTGTTTCCTTTTACAGTCTTTAATAAAGGCATAAATGTTATCCTCTCAATTTTTTATCTGATATTGTATAATATGCATTTTGAAGAATTTTGTTGTTGTTAAGTGCCGTCGAGTCAGTTCCGACCCATAATTTATGGAACAGAATGAAAAGCTTCTCCAGAAAATTTCCTTTTATTCAGTGTAAGAAAAAAGATTTTACCTAATGATTTTTAAAGTTCCTATCAAAAAGGATTCACTTCTAAAACAAACTCCAAACCTTATAATATATAAAATCGCCAGCCACTTTCAAGTCTGTATCGATTCACAGCAACCCTATGTGCGTCATAGTACAACTGTTATCATATGGTTTTCAATGGCTGATTTTTCAGTTGTTACAAGATGCCTCCAATCTTCTGGTTAGAAGTTAACCATATTAACCATTTGCACATTACTGTAAGTCCATTTATATGGCCTAGGTAATCAATCAACTATTACTCCCAAACGTGAAGATGTTCCATGAGGCTCAGCTAGACATATCTAAGACTCAAAGACATATAACATTGTTTTATATCTTTAATAAAGGTTTACACCTTTCTAATTATAAAAATATTTCAGTATTTTTTCAAGAAAGGTAGTAAAGAAAGGTGTTTATTATAACCCAAGGATGACAATTTTTCTTTAGTCAGATTAACTGGAAAGGTATTCTGAACACTATATTGTATGTACAGTACAGTTCTATTTTTATTTAAAAATTATAACAAAAAGTTTTTTGTACATGTTGTAAGGTATATAGAAATAAGCTCTAGAAGGATACATACCGAAGTTAACAGTGATTATCTTTAGAGGCTAGTTTAACTCAAAGTGGGAGAAAGGTAAGTAGGACTACATCCTTACTTTATGAACATCTGAAGTACTCAAATTCTTTTTAAAAAGATCACTTGAAATTTTAAATCAAGAATTGAAAAAGAAAAGCAAGTTCTCCAAAGAACACAGTATAACTTTATTAACTCCGATTTCTCATTCTGTTTTCTTAAGTCAGAAATTTTGTTGAAGTCCCTCCTCTGTCCCCTAGCCCCCACCCCAACTCTCAGTTTATTCTTATATTTCCAAAAATAATTATTATATGTAAAACATTATTTTTCTCAGTATATTTTCTAATTGGTTACTGTTTCTGTATCAAAAAGTTACTGGTATATGTTGAATTTACTATCAGGTAACTGTTAACTATCTTTCTTCTAATAGTTTGATATGTTAAATTCTCTTGGGTTCCTTTTATCAATCATTTAGTAAAAAAAAAAATTTTCTCCCCATCTACTGCATTACCTAAGGGGTCCTGGTAGCATAGCAGATTACCAGCTGGTCTGATAACTCCAAGGTCAGCAGTTCAAATCTATCTGCCACTCCTCAGGATAAAGATGAGGCCTACATAGGGTCGTTGCAAGCTGGAATCAACTAGGTGGCATAAAACCATCTGCACTGTGTAACAGGCATCTTCATTTTATTTTCAACTTTAATGTCACACTCCTAATAATTACTTAAATCACAATTGGTTTAACTTTTATGAAGTTAAAGCTACTACTTCCTTATTTTTTTTCTAAACAGATCACACTATTGTTCATCTTTCCTCTGTTGGTATCAGCCAAAGATGTTACATTATCAAGTAGATTCCTACTCATCATATGCCTGTAATACAGACTAGAACTGCCTCATAGCATTTCTGAGCCTGTAATCTTTATAGCAGGAGCTCTGGTAGCGTAGTGGTTACGAATCAGACTGCGAACCGCAGGGTCAGCAGTTCGAAACTACCAGCTGCTCCGTGGGAGAAAGATGAGGCTTTCTGCTCCCGTAAAGATTTACAGCCTTGGAAACCCAGTACAGGGTCGCTATGGGTTTAGAATTGACTCAACGGCACTTAACAACAACAACAATCTTTATAGCAGCAGAGACTGACATCTTTCTCCAGTGAAGTGGCTGGTGAGTTTGAACTGTTGGACATTTTGTTACCCGCAGCACAGCACTTTAACCATTGAACCACCAGTGCTCCTCTCTGTTACTATAATGAGTAACTGTCAATCATTCATGATACAACTAGTCTTTTCATATACACCAGTGAGAGAAAATCACATTATGAGGTATTTTCTTTTGCTATAGGATATCAGAATTAGGGTTGCTCCATAAAAATGAAGTCTCAGATTTCTCAACTTTCTAGCTCAATTTTTATGAAATATGAATTCTCTATTCATCAAAGACTTAACAGAATGTTCTAGAAAAAATGTTTGAATCCAATCATTTTTTCAGAGAAAAACTGTGGGCTATATTTTCACTTCTACAATTTCAAAATTTAAATATTTTTAACTTCCTTTAGATTAATATAATAATTTTATTATTATTATTATTATAGACAAAATGGATTTCATTAGCATATGGTTGTATATAATTTAGATTTTCTTCGGGACCTTTAGCTTTTAGATAATCTTTATGTAGTTTATTTGTATTTACTCTCATTTCTAGTTTGAAGATTTATTTTATGACTTTCAAAGAATCAGCTTTTCCCTTATTGATTAATCTTCAAAAACAGTATTTTTTGTTAACGCCTTCCTCTGCTTTAAGTTTAGTTTGATAAAACTAAGTATGGTGTTATTGTTGTTAAGTGCCGATGGGTCGGTCTCGACTCATAGCAACCCTTTGCATAACAGAATGAAACACTACCTTATCCTGTGCCATCCTCATGATTGTTAGCACTGAGCCATTACTGCTGCCACTGTGCCAATCCATCTCATTTGAGGTTTTCCTCTTTTTTACTGACTCTTCACTTTTCCAAGAGTAATGTCCATCTCCAGGGATTTGTCCCTCCTAATAACATGTTGAAAGTATGAAAGATAAAATCTCAATATCCTGGCTTCTAAGGAGCATTCTGATTGTACTTCGTCCAACACAGATTTGTTTGTACTTCTGACAGTCCACAGTACTTTTAATATTCTTCTCGAAAACCGTAACTCAAATGCATCAATTCTTCTATGGTATTCCTTATTCAGTGCCCAACTTTCACACGTAAATTATTCAAAATATTCTGTCATGGGTCCGGCACACCTTAGTCCTTAAACTGACATCTTGGCTCTTGAACACTTTAAAGAGGTCTTGTGCAACATGCAGTTTCATGCAGTATGTAGTTGAATTTCTTCACTGATGCTTCGATGAGTTTAATATTGGATCCAAGCTAAATGAAGTCTTTGACAACTTCAAACTGTTCTTCATTGATCATGTTATTTATTGATCTAGTTGTGAGGATGTGTTTTGTTTACAGTACACCCCATACTTAAGACTACATAGTATGCTGTATTTATTTTAAATTCTCTTCACTTTCAGCAAGCAGTATGTATAAACATAAAAAAGTTTCCTATATTTTCTGTTATTAATGGATTTAAAGGCTAAAAATTTCCCTTTGAATACTGCTGAGGCTTTAACACGCAGGTTTCTGTATGTAGTACTTTGATGACATTTCTGATTGAAAGAATCAATTTCCATTTTCAAGTATGC